GCACACATAACAACCACAAGGGGGCCTTAAAGTCTCCAATGCTCAGCCCAAACGGTGCCACATTTCCAACTGAGCTCTTGTTTTTATCACAGCAAGTTGAATGGGCATCTGTTAGTCACCTGTGATCCTAAAAGCACATTTCCCCATGTGAAACAGGATCTCGGCTTGGATGCTAGGAGAGTTTTGTGCTGTGTTTTTGGTCTCTGGCATGGCACGGAGCCAGAGGCCAGCGCTGTTGGCCTCGATTCACACAGGCGGTCATTAATGAGAGATAAAGCAGAGACACAGAGGAGGTCTGTGGAGAGCAGGGCAGCTCCCTCTTTCTCTCCTTTGCTCTACAGAGACCTCTTTCTCCTCACTCTCGTTTCTTACTGCGCAAAGCTTCCCACAAACACAAGGATAATATCCTGCGTGTACTTCAGGCAGACACAGGGAAGGGCTGTTGAGAAGGGAGGAGGTCAGAGGGATACCAGGGAGGGGTGCTGAGAGTAAACTCCAGCTTGCGGACGTGAGTCCTCTACGTTTTCAGTCCCACAGCATCAATTAGCATGTTGTCCTCTGCTTCTCTGCTGCTGAGAGTGAGAAAATGGGAGAACACTCAAGCCCTGTGATAGCCAGGCCCATGGGACGGCAACAATGCGCCACTGGAGAACCACAGCGTACCAAGTGTACAGCCTCGCACAGCTCCTCTCAGGGGTCATTTCCTACATTCTCTCTTAATTTCCTTGTTTTGGTTCATGAGTTCTTGAGGTTGGTTTTTCAGAAAACTGTATGAAAGAGCAAATGTTTTACTCGATGTGGGACTGTATTTACAAGCGAGTAGCACTATCTAAGCGTGAAATAAGACTCATCAGATGAATGACTGATTACACAAACATGAATTTCTTTGATCTATCTATCTATCTATCTATCAAGGCAAGATCCAAAGATTGTCTTAACTTTTCTAGTTTAAAAATGTGAGAATTTCAGAAAATGTTCATGTTATTTCCTTACATTCAAATTCAAAGTATTGTAATTCTTCATCCTGCATCCATTCTAAATGTATCTCTAAATGGCCCTCAACCCTGAGTCTGACGTAATGACACAGGCACTTTAATTGCTTGCTAATTGCTGTGCTAATTATGATATCAATCGCACAGTCATTTGTGCTGGAGGTTCATTCTCTTGTTTATAATCCTGTTTCCTTATAATGTCAGAGATTTCACATTTCACACAATTTTCCTGACGCCTTCAGCAAAGGCTGATTCTCAAGCATACAAATAAAAACAGCAAAACCCGAGCCTCTCTTTTAATTAATCTAATTAAATCACGTCTCTGTCTATAAAGCAAGACAATAACACAGAATTTAGCTCATTAGAGTCAAGGACGTGGGTGGAACTGGAAAGCCACGTCATAAAAACATGAAAGCGTTATAACTGCTCTCACACCCCGAAGCACCACATCAGCTTTAAGTTGTGGCACCAGTCTGGCAACTTCCAGCACCAAAGGCACAGGAGCCGCATTAAAGAGAGTCATTAATCCAGATTTTGTTTGATTACAGGAAAGGGGACCATTGAGGGTAATAAATTGTCACCTCTAAATACAAATACACAAAAATATGGGCATTTTGCTTCAAAATCATATGTAATAAGTTATTTTTTTCCAATTTAATATAGCAGGATAAGCAAAATAGCTTATCAACTGAAAATATACAGAAATCGAGCCATCCAAAAAGCCACATGTCAAACACATAAATATTTAACATCTTGCCATTACAGAAAGACATTTTTAAATTAACATGATCTAAAAACACAGCCTATATTCTTAAAGGGGTCATATGATGCAATTTCAAGTTTTTCTTTCTCTTTGGAGTGTTACAAGCTCTTGGTGCATAAAGAAGATCTGTAAAGTTGCAAAGACTAAAGTCTCAAATCCAAAGAGATATTCTTTATAAAAGTTTAACCATGCCTACCTAAAACGACTCATTCTAACACGCCCCCACATATCTACATCACTATGTGAAATATTAGCATAATGCCGCCCAAATGTGCACGCGTGCACGCAAAGAAAGAAGGCGTGGTTTCAACAACAGCAGTCGTGTTGATGCAGCCATGTCAGGGAGACGCTGTGTTTCAGTGCGAAAGCAAAAGCACTTTATTTGGCCTTCCGGAAGTAGATGCAATTAAGAATCATTGGTTAAGATTTATTTACAACAGAACAGCACAACCCAGATGTTCAAATTTGTGCAACGCATTTTATGGACAACAGTTTTTTTATCCTAGAAGAGTACAAGGCTGGCTGTGCACAATGGCTATTTATAAAAATAAAAAAGGGTAAATTCCGACTTTGCTATGACAATCTGGCGCTTCTGAATCAGTGACTGTAAGTATGTTTTGTTATTAGTTTAAGTATTTGCTATTGACTGTTCAAATGCGGAGTTTTGCGCAGCGCAGAGTAATGCGTTGTGTGTGTGTGTGTGAGGGGAACAGGGTCACATCACAGGAGAGTGAACTGCCTGTCAGAAATCATAGCACGTCAGCTGTCTTAACCGCGGCTTGTGTACTGCATCATCACTGTGTCTGTCACACGACTGTTGCCCTTTCGGGCTTGAACTGATGGTAAAACTAACGACATTATTAACTGTCTTGATATTTACTTTGAAAGCTGAAGCTGCGATTATGCACTGGGTCAGCTGGCCAATCAGAGCAGACTGCGCTTGTCAAAGGAGGGGGCTTTGTTGAAAACATTGTGTTTGAGAGAGGCGGGGCATAGAGGACCTACAATAATGTACAGTATTTGAAAAATAATGTGTTTTTTGAACATTAAAGCATGTCAACATGTTTTGTTACACCAAATACACAAAATAATGATCTTAAAAATAGCATCATATGACCCCTTTAAAAAACTGCATCATGACCTCTATAATGAGTGGGTCACTGAAAATGTTTTACTTCAATAGCCAGTTTTGATTAAAGAGTGACTTTGCATCATTTATAGGTCTATGAAAATGTTATTTTTCAGCCATGGTCAACATAGCTGAAATGACTGGAGTGTGCACTAAAAAAAGACAACACACAAACCTGTGATCTTCATACCTCAACCAACCCTATGCATTCATGTATACATAAAGACACCTTTCAGAACTTTCTAGTAGTGTGCACCTGGATTGAAAATATGACCTCATTCTGTGGCATCTCTTGTGCAGATCAGAAGTCATTAACCTTAACGACAGGCAGTGTGCTGTGTTGTCATCAGTACCTGACCTGTGGCAAAGTGCCAAGAGACGTGACGTTTGATCAGACTATAGTCCTTCATTTCAGCATGGGAAACTGTTGCAAATGGTCCACCTTAATGAAAACAAAAGTGCACAGTGCAGGCACACGCAGCAAATGAATGGAAAAGTCCAAAGAGAAATTGACCAAAGATCAGGGACAGTGAGTCACAAATGAGGGTCAAACGGTGAGAGATAAACTCTAAATATAACAGCTAATAAGATAGAGAGTAAGGACAATGATAGTATTTTAAATGTAAACTGTGCTGGCTCAAAAGTTAGCCAGGAATTGCCACTGAAAGTGAAAAAAAGAAGCCTACTTGCATACTTCATAATATTCAAATGTGTGTTTGCAACTACAAATTATAGTAATGATCTGTTGCTGTAAGATAGTGTGAAGTGAATACAAACTGTTCTTATGGAAAATATTCTCTGAATGTCATGAAAGTGAAGGACACACTAATTAAAACAAATGTAAATCTTGCATTGCAAACAGTAGAGAGTTAATAAATATGCTAACATGCCAATTTTATGATTGTGTGCATTATTTACAAGAACTATGATTTGATTTCAAAGGTAACAGCAAGAATTTTTCCAATTGACCATTTATTCAATTATTTGATTTTTTTGGGGTCAAACGTGAAATGGGAAAAAAAGACCCTGAAAATAAATTCCAAAGGGCAAACAATGGTCTACCCCAACCCCTTAACTGTTTTCTCACACAACTGTGGTATTTAAAAAATAAATAAATAAAAACAGTGAATCATTCCAAGCTGTTCATTGTTGTTTGGGAGGTTTGGACTTCATCACACTGAATAGAGAGCAGAAGCTAAACACTATCAATGTTAAATATACAATAAATACACCAGTTAATTGGCTAAGGTCAGTAATGTTTTCATTCAAGGTCAGAATGAAAAAAAGTGCAAGAATCAGTAAGTGTCAAAAGATTTTCCCTTAAGCATTTCTTTTAGTTACCAGAAAATATAATTTTAAGGTTAAAAGAGACAATGGTCTGTACTATAACACTACAAGTTAGCACTGAACTTGCAGGTCTTGCCATTTTATTTTACTAACAAATTAGATTTAATTATTGGAACACTTGAGAGCGATGCATGTTCCAAAGAGTGGATATTTTAAATAAAATGTAAGAACTTGCATTAGAAAATTGAATTCTAAACCTAATATAAACAAGCATTTTTAGTTTTTAATTCAGTGTATATATGATACACACAAGCAAAAAAAAAAAAGCAAATATTCGGACTCAAATATTTTGAAAGCATCACTGTCCCATCAGGTGCAATTTCTTGAGGTGATGCCATAGCAACGACTTGTCAGCACCTTGGACAGAGGCTACAGTTGAGCTCACCAAAAAGATTATAAAAATAAGGATTATAGGTCTTGTTTATTCTTTATTTTGAAGTATAGCGTAATGTGGGGCCTAATAACAAAATCTCTGTAGATTAAAACGGATAAATATAGACTGTTAAAAGAAAACTCCGTGCGCTGATCCTGAAGGTAGCGTGTCATGACCAACGTCAGTTCAAGAGCACCTGTAAACTACAAACGGACTTGCTTTTGACACAGACAGCAACTGCGGACAAAGAAAGTGTGTGGCCCTTTAAGTCTAAATATAGTTCCTCTCGAAACTGATATCCACTGCCTTGCTGTCGTATTAGCAAACAGTCAACACAAAATGTTATGTTTTGAAAAAAAAAGCGTTGTGAAGTTACTAAAAAATCTGTCCTTTTACCTTATTCAAGTGGGGGTTGCGTGTAACATCATAACCCCTCTTCTTCGTGTAAACAAAGGTCTTGCTTTGGTCTGCTGACTTCTGCATCTCCCACTCGACAGATTCCTGTTTGACTAAAGCGCGTGCCATGTTGCTTCCCCTTTAAATAGCGCTGAACTCAACAAGTGCGTCAGATAGGAAGACGTTACGCAGCGAGACCGTCAACAGCAGTTGCGTGTGTGCTGTTATCAGCAAACTATTAGCTGTAAAAGTCGATAATAATCTGGCAAATCTTATCTGAAGCAGAACATAAAGGTTTTACATAATATTTTCACGCATGGTTTCAAAGTAACTTTATCATGGTTGGAACAGGGGCAAAAAAGAGACCGGGGCTAGTTGTCACAAAAGCTATCGAAAGATTTTGAGTTAGTCGAATAAAAATATTGAATTTAGTCGATATAAAAATTTATTTTCTGTAGCAGTGGTTTTATATGTTGATTCAATAATTTATTAAATTAGAATATCTTTTGTGAATTTTGTCTGAGACTATAAGTATCATATTGAAAGTACAATAAAAGTAAATATATATTACTTTTAAATGAGCAGTTTCCTTGGCAATAACAAATGTTCAATCTGTTTTTAAGATTTTTTTAAACCTATCCTAGAAATTAACTTATAAAACCAGTCCTAAGAAATGATATTGTATTTCAATTTAGTCTTAAGCAATTTGTCATATTTATTTATGCACGAAAAAGAGGGCACAGTGTACTGTGTTAATATGAAGGAATTTTCTGTATTGTTTTTTTTTTTTTACAGGTGTTTTATCTGTATTTTGAATTTTGCACTGCATTGCTTTTAGAGTCAAGTCAAATCACCTTTATTTGTATAGCGCTCTATACGATACTGGTTGTGTCAACGCAGCTTTACAGTGTCACAGGAAAATAGTTTGTCAATAATACGAGAAGACAATAACAAAGAGCCATTTTTCTAGCTAAAGTCAGTTTATTAATGATTCAGTGATGTCATCATTCAGCTGACATCCATTAGAATTAATGGAAATGTCCAGGAAATGTATGGATAATGTCCTGGCAGAAAATGACCAGGCCTTTTTTTAATTATTATTATTATTATTATTACAGTGTACACTGTTTAAACAGTTTAATTTAAAAAAAAACTGGTGTGTGGTGGTGTGGTATCAGGTGATGACTAGCAAAGCAAGGTCACAAGTTTGCAAGAGAAGTTCACAAATCGCTCTGGATGAGGTAATATGGCTTTGAATAATCCAAAATTGCTGAGTACAACATGCACTGCAATACGTCTAGGTAAAAGGTAGTCTTAACATCAGACATATTGCACATAAAACGTTATTGCATGTATGCCTCAATTTGCCTCTTCATCAGATTTTTGAATAGACAACTTATTGTTCCCAGTATAGACTTTTAGATAGTGTGTGTGTCTTTGTGTCCCTGTGAGCATTACCTCACTCACCTTACAGTGCACAAAGGCCATTTAATTAGCTGAACTGTCTTGTAATGATAAGAAGGATAATGTTTCACAAATGAGCATGTCTGAGAGGAGTGCTCCGGCTGAACCCTGGCCTACAGTATGTGTGTGCAAGTGTACAAGATATCTGGTTTGTACAGTATGGTATGCGCATTCTTACAGACTTGGACAAGTAGTTAGGGTCATCTTACAGAGACGCTTAGTCACTGTGACTGTTTTGAAAAGCCAGAGCATTTGGCTCTGATCCACCACAGCATGCCAGGGGCAAAAATGTTGAAATCGCTTGTGCATACCAATTACTGTTCCCATATGAACAAATATGTAGATAGGAAACCTGTCTAGAATGCTAGGAACCTGAAACTAATGATATTCTGTGACCTTCAGACACTTCCCTGAATGTATAAAAGGTGACTCAAGGGCACCTTGTTCAAGTGCATTCCTTCTAGACCCAGGTATGTTACTTTATCTTGGCCTTGCACAGGCTAAATGGGAGATACTGAAGTTAAGTGTATTCAGGGGAAGAAAAAAAACTGAAGTTAGTAGAACACTGCATTTTAACACTTCCTGCTGCATTAAATGCACAGCAGTTTCATTCTACCGAATTTATGTCCTTACTTACAGTACCTATTTTTAAACCTAAAAAGCTAACTTTAACCCCTATACATTTATTGACAAAAATAATACAAATATTATTATTTATTTATTTTTATTCATATGAAATGCTCTTTATTACATAATACAAATATTAAAAAAGAAACAAATAGATATAGAAAATATTATAGAATATTATCTAGAACTTTATCTGTCTAAATAGGATAAATAGGGTATCATTTGATTCTTCCATGTATGATTAAACATGTCAGAAATAGATTGGAAATGATTTACAAGAACAAGGAACAAACCAGACTCTGACAGTGCCAGGTTTGAGATGATGTCACTAAATATAATCCTAGCTTGCTAAATCTATCAAATATTTATTCTACTAAAAATATCGTAAAAAGGCTGGTTTTTCAGAGAAGGCGTAGGCGTTGTAAATTATGTGACAAAAAAACAAACTCTGGCTGTTCAAACACTGTCACACAGAGTTACATACAGATAAATGGAGCGATAAATTGGGCAAGACTGTGATATAGAGGCTCAGATAAAAGCACAATGAGGTTCAGATAGGAGCATATTCGGTCCATTTTTCATTACGCTATACACACCAACAGAGCAGGATGATAAAGCTGTTGAGAGTACAACAGATACAAACAATGCAGTTTAAGGGGGGAAAAAATAATTCAGTAAATAAAGGAAATTTGTATTTACTCATTTAGTAGTGAAACATTTTATCCAAAGTGATTTACAAATGAGAACCGGCACATGATTTTTATTATAAGAGCCAAAAATATTTCACATAAAATAATTCTCATAAATTCTGGCCAAAATATATAAAATATTTTAAACTTTCAAATGCCAACATATATTAAAAATGAACTTCAAGTGACAATGAAATACAAACTTTTAAAAAATATTTTAGAGAATATCAATATATACAGTGGGTACGGAAAGTATTCAGACCCCCTTAAATTTTTCACATATTTCAGTTTTTCTTTTTTAATAAATCTGCAAAAATGTCAACAATTCTGTGTTTTTCTGTCAATATGGGGTGCTGTGTGTACATTAATGAGGAAAAAAATTAACTTAAATGATTTTAGCAAATGGCTGCAATATAACAAAGAGTGAAAAATTTAAGGGGGTCTGAATACTTTCCGTACCCACTGTATATATATATTTATTATATTGAAAATATATTTTAAAATGGACAAAATATGCAAAGAAATATAAGTATTATTTAGGTAAATATTTTTTAACATTTGGCCAATTCTGTATATTTATAAATGTATTTTAAAAAATACATCTAAAAATTTACCAAATCGGGTACACAATGCCAACATTTAAGCTAGTGTACAGAAGCAAGGAAATAAAATGAATGCTATATATTTGGAAAATATGTTAAATGCTAATGAAACAAAGGCAGTGTGTAAGATATATACAGTATTAAAGCAGTAAGTTACTTTTATTAGAGAGCACAGAAGCTTTTCCTGAACTGTTGAATTATTTCAGTTAATTGTTTCACTGTTTGCTGAATTGTTTCATTCAAAACCATTTGTGACCCTGGACTTAAGTGTTAATTTTTCAAAATTGAGATTTATGCATCATCTGAAAGCTGAATAAATAAGCTTTCCATTGATGTATGGTTTGTTAGGATCAGACAATATTTGGCCGAGAAAATCTGGAATCTGAGGGTCCAAAAAAATCTAAATATTGAGAAAATCACCTTTAAAGATGTCCAAATTAAGTTCTTAGCAATGCATATTACTAATCAAAAATTAAGTTTTGATATATTTACGGTAGGAAGTCGGAAGTCATTAGGGGAAGTCATTAGTCTTTACTTAATATCCTAATGATTTTTGGCATAAAAGAAAAATCAATCATTTTGACCCATACAATGGGTCTATTGCTACAAACATACCCCAGCGACTTAAGACTGGTTTTGTGCCACATTTATTCACATTTATTTAGGGTCACATTTATTCTACCTAGCAACAGTCTATGGAAATAGTTTTACTGGACAGCCTTATACAAACTACAAGGCTACAGTCTTGCGAAACAAGACAACCTATAAATAATCTTACACAAGCAGTTTAATAGCAGAAAGAAAAAGCCTCAGGTTCTTCTTTTCTTTATCTCTGCTTCTTCTCGCATAAGGAATGGTAGTTCCCAAAAGTCTAATAGTTAAGCTAGTACTGCTATTATTTGCACTTTCAAAACAATAGAGAGAGGAAATAACATCAAGGGTAAACATGCCATTTTCTGTGAACACACATTCTGTGTGTGTTATCTGGTTCATAATAACAGGGCTTGCTCCCTGCTGTGTAATTATATTTGCAGAGGTGTTCAGATCAGCAATAAGGTTTTTTGTTCCATACAGGAATTCCAGTAGCCACCTATTAAGCGCTATTCCCAGATTTAGGCTGTTTGAGCCCCCCTGGTTTTTTTTACAAGACTGGACTCTTCAGACTGAATCAAGGAAGCCACAACACTGTCCAGATAACAGCAGGGTGAGAGAAATCTCAAAAAAAGTACCAGAAAAGACAGTGAAGGACAATCTTGATTACAGAGGATTGCTGAGCTTCCTCCCTAACCTCTGAAAACCAACACCTGGTGTTGCTGAAGCTGTGATGTATGGTATTAACACACACACACAGGCATACTTACATATAGTGTGCACCAAAACACAGAGACTTCCGGGAATGAGGAAATTATCCTCCTTGTGCCATGATATATCATAATAACAGGGCTTGCTCCCTGCTGTGTAATTATATTTGCAGAGGTGTTCAGATCAGCAATAAGGTTTTTTGTTCCATACAGGAATTCCAGTAGCCACCTATTAAGCGCTATTCCCAGATTTAGGCTGTTTGAGCCCCCCTGTTTTTTTTTACAAGACTGGACTCTTCAGACTGAATCAAGGAAGCCACAACACTGTCCAGATAACAGCAGGGTGAGAGAAATCTCAAAAAAAGTACCAGAAAAGACAGTGAAGGACAATCTTGATTACAGAGGATTGCTGAGCTTCCTCCCTAACCTCTGAAAACCAACACCTGGTGTTGCTGAAGCTGTGATGTATGGTATTAACACACACACACAGGCATACTTACATATAGTGTGCACCAAACACAGAGACTTCCGGGAATGAGGAAATTATACTCCTTGTGCCGTGATATATACCTGCCAATATAAACTCTATCAGTGGAGAATTTATTCAACGAGAAACTGCTGTGGGAGTAAGGGGATCCCTCTGCGCTTATAATGGAAATTGCATGGGTAATTTGGAATAGGCTAGAACTGTGAATTTGGCAAGGCTTATGTGTTAGAAAGTAATACTGTTTTTAGAAACAAAGTGAAAAGACTGGTAGTTCAGGAAGAAGCGAGAGAGTAATTGAATCAGAATAGGTGGAAAATGGAAAGAACAAGGCTTTAAAATGTCCATTGCATTTTCTCCACTGTTCATTCAAAACAATGCACAAATGTTTAGTTCCACTATAGACAAATGCATAAACATTATGGCAAACCGTTTTGACTTTAATTCATTAGCAGGATATGAATTATTGATATCAACAATTCAAATTTTCACGAGTTAAAATACTAATTCTTGATATCAGATATTAGATTTAAATTCCATTTATGTTTAAAAATAAGGTATTTGTTTACAGTTTTTTTTTTTTTTCAAACGAAAATTGGAAACTTTTGTCTTTATGCCTGTTTAAATTAAATTAATTATACATAAATAAATGATTAAAATAAAATAATAAATAACACTACAAAAGCATTCAAATTCTGTAAAAACACCCACAAAATTTGTAAAAACAACAACAACAAAAAGTCTGTCACTGAATCTAAAATTTTGATAAAGAAAAGATTATTTCACAGTCAGAAAACATAACAGAATATACAGTTCTGCTTGTAAATATTGCTACAGAGTACCTTAGTAGCAAAATTCTGAATATCTTTTATATATAAAAATGCCACTAATTTGGCAAACTCTAGTAAAACTAGGGTGACCGTACGTGCCATTTTCCCAGGACGCGGCCAGGATTTGTTTTGGCTTTGTTTTCCTGTTTTCATGCTTGCTGAAGGTAATGATCGAAAAGTAGTTTGACCAATAACATGCAAGCATTGTACATAATGGACCAATCATGGCGTGTGAGAAGGTGGGATCTACGGTCAAAGCGATGCAATTACGTGTACATATTAGGTGTGTTCGACTTAAAAGCAGTGCGGCTCAGACCGATCAGTGTTTGACATCAAAGTACCTCGAGAGCGTTTCGAAAGCATAACTGTCTGTATGGTACTTTGATGTCATGCACCGATCGGTCTGCACACACAAACAAAGCCAAAACCTAGATATTTTAGGCAATATAGAAATCCTGGCCAGGACGCATCCTGGGAAAATGGCACGTATGGTCACCCTAGTAAAACAACGAACTTGTTCTTTATAGTGCTCAGAATGTCAGCCAGAAAATTTTCCATCATTGACTATGATGCTGCTATGATTAATCGTCTCACATGATCATGCAAAGTGTTTGCACGTGTTTGGCAGGGGCTGACTCGGTAATCAAGCATGCTATCACACGAACAGGTGATGCAAAAAATAAAAAAATTGAGAATGAGACAGACTGAGAGACAAGGAGAAGAACAAGGAAACCAGGCATGCACAGTAATGTGACTCATCTCAAAAATGCAGTGCAGGTCAAAGGTCACACAAGGGGGAATAAGAGCTGTTTTTGAACTTGGTTCTTTGAAGTGATCCAGCCCCCCTCTGCCCTGTAAACTAGCTGGAAGTTAACCAGTAATGGCCAATGCAAACCTACCTGAGAGGACATTAATCTGTTGTTTTGCCTACTAAAGACTATCAAGAAGCAAAAAAAAAACAAGATTTGGATCTCAAACAATTTTTTGAGAAAAAAATTAGTGTATCTCTATCCTACTGGTTTAAAACGAACACTATAGTTGCAATATTCAGTGGCACAATCTTCAAACTGCAAATGCATGGACAAAACCTATAGGTTCACCCCGGATCATGAAGAGATTATTCTCCTGACAAAAAAAACCCTCTATGGAAGCAGTGTATCACACAACCATGAGTGGAAATATGACGTAAGGCCATTCCTTTCAGTGCGACACTGCCAAACACTCATGTAACAATTTATGGAACCTGCTAGTTATGAAAAGTATCATACATTTTAGATGTAGCAAAATCAGATCAGCTAGTGCATATATGCTACAGACAAAGAGAAGTGGCTCAAGAGTTTGAATCCCCCCACTCTGCCTCCATCATTTTGTGTCATTTGTTCTGATAAAATAAAACAAAATAATGCCAATGTGCACAAAATAAAAAAATCATACACCTATTGAGAGATGATGATCTATGAGCTCACGATGATCATCGTAGGAGCACATTCTCTAAGTTGGAGGGCGAAGGCCACAGTCTGAAGCAATGAGATCACCTTTCTCTGTTCAGACTTGACAGAGAACCTCACAGGATGCTGATGTGAGCCTACATTGTGGAACCTGAAAGACTGACCCTTTCACTGAGTCTCTGGGGAAAATGAGTAAGACAGAAAGGTGATTTTAAGACGTGTGGTATTGAACGAGAATTAGAAAACAGAAACCAGAAAAAAAGGACAATTTACCTGAATGTATACGTCGTATCACATGTAAAGTCAGTTCTTGCATCTCTATGCTTGTTTCTGGTCCATCGCTCTAATTCTACGAAAGGATTCGGGATTTGTGCACTTTAGTGTGAAGTGTTTACACACAAGAGTATTGTTTGGTGGCCCCTTTAAAAAAAATACGACCCAATCATTCAAAGGCTTAGAGCTCCAGCAGCTCATTTAGTGGAAACAGGTTTGATGGCGTTAATCTTTCTGAATGAAGCAATGCTGTTAGAACTATTCTAAAGAGATTAAGCACATCTTAAGTGAAGGACAAAACTGTGTATACATCAATGACAAATAAGGATGATGAACAGAAATGTAAAGATAAATCTTGAAGTTTACAACATATGTGGGTTCAAATAACAGTATCATGACTTTTTCATAGGGTTATGCAATTTGACCTGACAAAAACATGCTTTGTCATAAAAAGATCAAAAAGTCGTATTAAAAAATAAATACTGCCCTTGACACATTCACATAAACCCCTGTTTTCTTCTTGGTTGCCACAGTTTGATTTAGGAAACAAAAGGTTTTAAAATATTACTACTATTAGTTTTATTATTATTATTATTTTTATTTATTTTTTCAGTGATAGGCTTATGCCTTTAGCCACACACAAAAACTGAATTCTGAAATTGAAAACGCATTCGCACAGAAAGTCGTTTTTGCATGATTTGTATTTTATCTAGTTTGTTAAATATCAAATAGATGCGGACAATAAAGGAACGTGACATCATTGACCCACACAAGAATCTGCATACATGTGCACTTAAATTCGAAGGCGTTCTTGTAACTGACAGACCCCCTGCTGGCCTGTTTGCCACATCATGTACACGCACACAAGTGTCAGTGATGTGGGAACGGAACCGAACCACAATAAAGCCGCTGCTGCGCTTTTGTGCTCTCAGTGGAACGAATCAGTGGAAAGCCCCTTTGAATTCTGGACATAAACGACTCTTTGAATTGTCAAATAAAGATTTATTCAAATCCCGTGATTCATTCATATCAAGTGCTGAACGCTCTCTCAACTTCACTTTCTCCGCTCCATCGTTGCAGAGCATGATCGTCCCTCCCCTATACGAAACTCTTTGTGACTTTTTTCCTCCCTTTCCCTTAAACGTCAAGTGTAATTCATACCACGGGCTTCGTCTCTGTGCTCTCCTTGTCTTGAAGGTGGAGCAGATATGAAAAGAAACGGACTATCAGCCCATCCAGCAGAAAGCCCTCTGAGATGAAGTAACTTGTAGACGGTTCTTGCTTAAATAACAAGCATCTGTTCGCAGATTGAACATCTCCATCAATCGAATGATAGCAGGTACGGCGCATTTCACTGCTGCTTTTTATTTATTTAATATTATTGTAATTGTTATTTGTAAAAGTTTCATCTCTATATAAAATGTATTTATATATAATCTATATTAAGTTTTTTTTTTTTTTGCATCATTCTAGCCTTTGGGGGAAAAAATTAAGTGTCATTATCTTTGGCATCACTTTAAAGCATCTCAGGTATAGTTATTGATTGCACAGCTTCCATGAAAAATGGGCTATAATTAAGTTTTTATTTTTCATGAAAGTTTAGGGAGTTGAAAATACATTGAATACTTTAAATATATATCTGTACATTAGGAATGATAATGACAGTTGGGTAGGTTGAAGACCCCTCATCTAGTCCATGCGAAAATTGTACAGCTTTTTTGGTGGAAAGTCTGGTTATCATAGTAATTTTTGTGCAAAGGAGATGATTACAATGCAGATAACTTATAACTGTTAATGCAAATATTCATATATCCATAAATGATTGAGGGCGAGGGAAAGACATGCACTTAAAGATCTGCCAACTTTGAATGAATTAGTCTTAAATTTAATGGGACCAATGGAAATGGGACCATTAGCGCCACCGTTTGGTTGATGAAGGTGGTTGAAAAGTTAGCAAATGTGCAAGATTGAAATTTCTGTGCCTTGCAATGGAAAAATGGGATGATGCTGACATGGAGGTGGATTTTCTACATCTACCACTACAGACAGTTTTTTTGTCTTTAAAGGGGCTATATTATACATATAAAACCCCACTAATCTAAGCATCTCAAGATCTTTTATGAGCAAGTCAGATGTATTTATTACAGAAAAGTCATTGGAAATGTCATAGCAATATTTCAGCAGCGATGGAGAAATGTCAGATTGCAGATGTTCATTTTAGCAAGAGAACTGTTGATAGGGAGATCAGATCACATGTCAGACCGAGTGTGCCTGAGTCCGTCTGGTTTGCAGACTTTTTAAAGCTCGAGCTGTCTGCACGTTTTACATCATGGTCTTACTGGAATTTGTTAGACCCCTGTAAGTGCTTAACTTCTCAAGGCCCTCTCGAGTAGGGATACATCTGATTTGTCATTGCCTGGATCCATAACGTCCCCGCACACATATTTTCCCCTCACACTTTCTACTGAGTATTGTATCACAGTATTGTCTGTACAGATTGTTTCTCGCAGACAGAGCAGCTGATGTAGATAATGCACATCGACGGCATGTCATAGTGAAGTGGGAGGTGGGAGGAGAGGGATTTCAGCTCCTCAGGGAAAGTACTGAAGCAACCCTCTCCACCCCTAAACTGACTACTGATTAGAAAATGTTGCTGCAGTCTGTTTTCCTTGGGTGCTCAGCAATCTAACATATGATGAATGTGTGAGAGTTATGGCTGTGAAACGCTTGGCTTTGTGGCTTGGCAATTTTTTTCTTCTTCTATGTGTTCATAAAAAGAATAGCTTATGGATATACTTGAAAGAGACTTTGACTTATTACTCTGTTTTAGCATATGGAAGCTTGCTTTCAACACAGGATAAAAAAGGTCATCGTGACTGGGCGTTTTTTTTTTTTTTTTTTTGCGAATTCTAAGTTTATATCTCATAATTAGAACCTTTTTTTGCAGTTCTGACTTTTTTTTAGTTAACAATTCTGAAAAGAACATTTGGAATTGTGGGATAAAAAAATCACAAATACCTTTTTCAGAATATTTTTCCCCATGGCAAAAACAGACTTCGATATTGACTTAGTAGTGCTGGGTCAACTGCTGGGTCAAAATAGCCCAATTGCTGGGTTTGTCCCTATTTTACCCAGCACTGGGTTGTATTTAACCCAGCATTTTTTAGAGTGTACCAATTGCTTTACCATCTGCAGAACCCCAGTATATACTTATTACTGACATTTAGCAAGACAGTAGAAAACGTTTCCAAACCACTGACTCGAGTCAGTGCCGTCAGGGTTATTATTCTTACAGTACCCACCACAAACCTCCAGTCTCCACAGGCAGCATCATTTTCCTCTTAATGGCAGATATTTTCTACTAGCTGGTACCATTCAGAGACTGGGTTTTAAATGAGAGCACATTTGTGTGCTGTTTGACTCGTTTGTTTAGTCTCTAAAGCTAATGCAGCAAATTTGGCATTCGTGTTAACTATTTCTTTTGTAATAAAATATTTTTGTGTGTGTCTTAAAAGCAGATTCAAACGTTTTGCTTTGGAATCTGTGAGAATGCTATTGTTGACTTAACAGGTACCTTAGGACTGGATCTAAATATCTATGGAATGTGATGATGGAGAATGAGGAGAAATATACAGTATATACACACATATTCTCAGGGGTCTTGAAATAGTGCTCCAAAGCCTTATTATTTGTCTCCCCCTAGTGGTCATGACTGTAGTAATATAATCCTCTGGTCCTGATTTCAATACTGCCAGTCTTGCTTCTCCTGCAGGCAGGCTTAATATTATTTTTGGACTTCTGCCTTATCTGACACAGATTTCAGGTATTGGATTATCTATTAAAGAGTTTATTAAATAAATAAGATGTACTATATAATCGAGACATCCATAATGTGCAGTGCTGGGACCAGGAATGAGATCCACTAATTTGTAGGAATGTCTGAAAGAGATATACTGCATGCATGTTATTTACATTCAGGGCAAAATGCAGTGACTACTACAACTTATTAGTGCAAACAAACAATAAAATGGAGGCGCATGCTTAGCGGGAGGTTGGAAAAATCGAATTCAACTGCATGCACACAACTGTACGCATACCCTATGTATGCATAAAAAGTGAAGTATACAGTACTTTGGGATTGACTGGAAAGTTAATCTAAATGTAAAAATAGGGTAAATAGTATGCATATATTGGCTGATACCACTAATTAATTTAACAGCAGTCCAACATTCCTCTGGTTATAACTGACCTGTGCTCTCAGCAAGCAAAGGTGAAAATGTTGCATCAAAAGACAATAAATTCCCTCCCACTTCATTTGTTTGTACTGAAGAAATTAAAATGTTCACAAGTAGCCTATTGACATTTATGCTCTTTCATTTATGCTACATTGACATTTATGCTCTGTAAATATGTGTTACATAACTATATTTTAAGTAATGTTGATTCTCTTTTTCTCTTTCTGTCTGTTTTAGGGGGCTCTCTGCAATGGGCCCGGTACCCTTAACGCTCCTGCTTTGCATCTCAGCACTAGCTGTACTGTTGTCTGCAGCAGTGGACGATCCCACAGGTGACGATGACTACACCTGGCCGCAGAGGAAAGTACCACTGGTACAAGAAAAGCAAACAGTGCATCTGGGCAGTTCTGAGTTTTTGGCTAAGCCGCAGACTGAGCTCCATGGAATATGTGGCATTGAGTGCCAGCGGGGTCTCCCAGAGCCCAGCCTGGACGATCTGGAGCAGCTACTGTCCTACGAGACGATGTATGAAAATGGAACCCGCACCCTAACCACCGTCACCATACAGGAGCTAAACGTTAGTGTTGATTGGACGGAAGGTTTTGGGTTACGTTCTCGGCGCAGACGAGAAGTCTATGGCATGGACACACGGTTTACCATCGCTGACAAGCAGTACTCCTTTAAGTATCCATTCTCCACATCTGTGAAGATCTCCACGGGTTGTTCTGGAGTGTTGGTGTCCCCCAAACACGTCCTGACTGCTGCTCATTGCATCCACAATGGTACGGACTACCTGGATGGGGTACAGAAACTCAGCGTTGGTGTGCTGAAAGAACGTTCCCGCCAAAAAGGGAAGGGACGGAAAGGGAAAGGACGGAAGGGGAAAGGCAAGAGGAAGCATAAAGAAGAGGAGGAGGAGGAGGAGGAGGAGGAAATCAATGAAAATATAGAGATTGGCGAGAAGCAGGAGCGTAAGGGAAAAGGCAAAGGCAGGAGAAACCGTAGTCGCCGCAGCACCACCTCCGAGCAGCCCTCGTTCCGATGGACCCGGGTGAAACAGATGCAGGTGCCGAAGGGCTGGTTTAAAGGGATCTCGGAGAACGTTGTGGCTGATTATGACTACGCCATCCTGGAGCTTAAAAGGGCACAGAAGACCAAATACATGGATCTCGGTGTCGTCCCCTCCGTCAAGAAGCTGCCTGCAGGACGTGTCCATTTCTCGGGATTCGACGACGACCGGCCAGGCAACCTGGTGTACCGCTTCTGCTCCGTGTCCGATGAGTCCAATGACCTGCTGTACCAGTACTGCGATGCAAAGCCTGGCTCCAGTGGCTCGGGTGTCTACATTCGGCTCAAAGAGCCTGGCAAGAAGAAGTGGAAGCGAAAGATCATTGGAGTGTTCTCGGGTCACCAGTGGGTGGATGTTAATGGGATGCAGCAGGATTACAACGTGGCCGTGCGAATCACGCCCCCCAAGTACGCACAAATCTGCCTCTGGGTCCATGGGGACTCCAGCCAGTGTCTGGGCACTTGAGAGACTCCATCAGCCCGTCTGACTGCCACTGTCCCGGCTCTCAGCAACCCTTGTGCCTCCCATTTGTGCACTACACAAACTGCTGCATTCATCAACACTAAAGACTATAACACACCTACCATTGAATTTTTCCAAGCTATTTTGATACCTTAATTTATTTTATTAGACCATTTTTGTTATGAATCAGTTAGAGCGAATGTATTTCTAGATTAAGGTGTCCTAACGAGAACTAATTCTGTCCTAAACTGTCGTTTTGAATTAGAAAATGTACTTCAGTCAGTGTTGTTTGATATGGGAGGCATTTGTTTTGTCTGGTAATCTGTCTGGATATCTTGAAGTAGAAAGCTAGATGACTAGTTGACACAAGGAAAAAAAAACTTTGATGTTTATTTGTGGATTTTACTTCCCTTTTTTCATCTTGAAGAACGCATTTGACTATCAATATGCTGGTGTTCTTTGTTATCATTATTATTAAATGTTATGATTGTGTGACTTTGATAGCATAAACTGTAACCTGTCTTCATGGGCTTCCGTTTACAATTGTTCTGCTTTTTGTATTACAGTGAAGGCAATTAGTTGGAGGTTTAACCTTCAGAGTCAGATGCCCTTGTTGACTTTTGGTGCTAATTTAATTTTAAAATATAAAACATCAGATGACCTGTCGGAGTAACAGTCTACTGTAGAACTGTAAGTATGTATTTAATGTAAGACTCCTATTATGAGTTTCATATGATTATGACGTTCTTTAAAAAAAATACACAGGGTTATTTAAATTTAGATATGCTCAATGATACATATCATTGTAATTATGATAAAGAGAAAAGCAATATAGCTTGATAGGAAATATAAATTGAAAATTTTAATATAAAATTGATGTTTTCAAATACAGATTGCATACTTTTTCAATTTGTACCACTTTTTCTAGATGTTTATTGAGGACCAAATAAACTGAGATTTATATGTATTGGTCTAAGAGGACAGAATAGTGTTAATTTAAATTTTTTTATCAAACTTACATTGTTTTTCCACTTTGCTTTTAATTTTCACTCGATTCTTTATTTCTCTGTAAACCTATTAAGATATTTTAAAGATTAAAAAGTATATACACATATATATATATATATAAATAATTATTTAGAAAATAGACATATACCTTAAACTTTGCAGCTTAAAAATTACTTGAATAATGTTCATCTTTTTTAATCATCATGTGTTGATACAGAGCCATCCTTGTGAAAACAGACACAGGGGGGCACAGGTGGGCATTTCTTCCCATCAGTGTTTATTGCATCTCAAAGGGCTTACATGCACTATGTAGGGGTGTCAAATATGAATCAATAAATCAAAATAAAAAATATTTTAAGAGAATTACAAAGGAGAGATCCAAAGATCTGCCTTTGCCATTTCCACGAGAGATCTAACAGGGAGAGTGAGTTACAGAGGCTTGGCCATACAGGGCTGTCAATCAGACCTTTCTGTAACACTGTTTAACAGTGACCTCCTGAAAACTTCTAACAGATCTAAGAGTTTATCTCTGCTAATGAACCTACGCTCTAGTTTCTATGAAATCAGGTATTTTCATCCAATTTATCTCCTCCACACTCTATTTTGCTGTGCAATCTACAGTACCACTACTCACCAATAAAGGGAGCATGAATCAACCATTACATGTAACAAACAAGGGTCAGGGTTCATAATATAGTATGAGCAGGAAAGACTGAGAACCAAACATATGGATGGGTACTTCTACAATTATACAAAAAAACACTACATGTACCAGCTTCAATTTGGATTTCATACAAGCACAAGTAACTATGAGACTCAAACACAGCATTCCACTGACTACAACTGTGAAATCTTGGGGGCTTTTTTGGGAAACATCACCAGTTTAACAAGTCACTGTACATTTGTTATTTTAAGATACTGCAAAAGGCCTTTCTTAGAGATCGTCTGAGAATTGTAGCGCTGAGATTAAGTGAATTAAAGTCCAAATTTGCTGAGGTTATTTTCTTGGGGAAGTCCAAAGAGAGTATTTAAACCGTGAACTGACAATTAAATTAATACCAAAGAATCAAAAAATACATATATATCTGAAAAATAAATACCAGTTAAAATACAAAAATTACATGTAATCACCAAGAGGGTTATCTAGGATAGAGGAGCCTGGATATGTTATTCATTTATACATAATTCATATATATTTAGATTTCATATATATATTATTTGTAAACAAACATGTCAATCAATGATGGGAGATGATGACAACAGCATGACTTATAATCCGAGTACCAGGTTCACATCAATAAGTCGTCCACAGATAAAAATTTGAGCAGAGAGACCTTTTTTGGTCAATGAGGATAAAATACACAGAGTACTTTCTGCGAATGATACATTGCACACTGCTCCAAAATTAACATACAACAGAAAGTGCTTCAACAACCTGTTTAGGACCTCTGACCCCAAAAGGGAAGTCCTAGAGGAACCTGAAGTTGAGGGGATCAACATACACACATCATTCATTTCAGACGTAAACACTGGAAAAGACATACATACACATCTTTTTTTTAATCCTTCATTTTCATTTGTGTGTTTTTCATAATTTTATTCTGGTTCATTCAAAACAAAGGATAACATCGAAATATGCACATCTTCATTTTTCGGCTTGTTTTCTCAATGATTCACTTCACGGTTTGTGCTACAACATGACACAGGAAGGCTGGGTGGGTCAGTGTGGGCGGGGTTTGGGTTGGGGGCGGGATCAGTGGATATCTAGCTCCAGCTCCTCAGGTGTCTAGGGGTGTAAACAGACAGCAGACTTCTCTCACTGGAGCTCAGTCTTTGAGAAAACAAATACTGCAAACAGAGCACGGAGAAAACGTCACGGTTCTTTGTGATTTAGTGCCTCATTTAAGTAGCCACTAGAAAGATAATGATACCTGGGAAATTATAAGAAGTCCTTGATGTTGAGATCTGCAAGGGGGTCCTTGGTGGGAGGTTTTTTGGGGCTCTGAGCAGCTGGCCCTGGAGACAACTGAGAAAGTAAAGGGTGCATGAGGAAATGATGATGCAAACTGATTAAAAAAAATATATATACTCTACTGTTTGGGGTCAGTACGATTTTTTTTTTAAAGAAAGAAATACTTTTATTCAGCAAGGATGCTTTAAATTGTGAATGCATTAAAAAGTCAATAAAGACTTTTACATTATAACAATGTAGTTGTTTTCAACATTGGGAATAATAATAAAAGTTTCTTGAGCAACAAATCAGCATATTAGAATGATCTCTGATGGATCATGTGACACTGAAGACTGGAGTAATCACAGAAATTAATTACACTTTAAAATATATTAAAATAGAAAAGTTATTCTAAATGTAATAATATTTTACAATTTAATGATTTTTTTTAATCAAATAAATGCAGCCTTGGTGAGTATAAGAAACTTCCTTCAAAAACATTAAATGTTATTAAACGTTAAATGTTTGAATTGTAGTATTTTTGTGTATAGTGTAATTTTTTTTTATATCTCTCTCTCTCTCTCTCTCTCTCTCTCTATATATATATATATATATATATATATATATATATATAGTTGTTATTTACTGGTGCTCCGGGTGTTCCTGTTGCTGCTGGCCCAGTAAATGGTGGTCTCATCATGGGCTGACCCATCATCACGGGCTGGGGCATCATGGGAGCTCCTGCTGCTGGAGCCTAAGTAAAAAATAAGAAATAAAGTATCCATCTGTAAGTGCATACTGTAAGAGCAAAATACAGAGACTCTTTAACATTTTAAACAGTGATTTCTCACCATGCCAAAGCCAGGCTGTGCTCCCATGGGTGGTGCCATTGCTCCAGGTGGGGCGGCAGCTCCGGGGGCTCCAGGGGCAGAGCCAGACTAAACACAATCGCAACAGGACCACAATAAAATATACAGTGTCGAAACAGTTTTCACTCAGAAATTGCTAGCAAATTTCACAAATACAAAGAAAGGCAAGTACACTGATAAAGAATTGAAACAAATTTCACTCAGAAATTGCTAGTAAATTAAAACAATAATTACAAAGAAACAGCAAGTAACATTGAATTAAATGTCAAATTTTGAAGTAGAAAGACTTAAACATTTTTAATTGTCTAAAGGGTTAGTTCACCCAAAAATGAAAATTCTGTCATTGATTACTCACCCTCGTGTTGTTTCAAACCCATAAGACCTTCACGAGAGTACCACGACGCATGCGTGTGATGCTGCTGCGCCTTGTTTACAAGCAGAGGAATGCACATTCATGAGTTGTGGTACTCTCGTGAATGACTGCGGAGACTGACCCGGAAGAGATGAATCGTTGAATAAAGTTGTTGGTTTTATTTTCTTTGTGCACAAAAAGTATTCTCATAGCTTCATAACATTACGGTTGAACGACTGATGTCACATGGACTATTTTAACAGTGTCCTTAATACAGAGTCCTGGCATGAAACTCTAGATGGCGCAGTCCGATAAGTCTAACTCAATCTGACCTAATGACATCATTATCACATGGCACAGCTGATTGGTTCTCTCTTGTATCGGTAGCCAATGAGCTCGCTGCTCAACATTCAAATATATGATTAGTGCTTGCAGTAGCAGTTGCAGCTTGCTTCAGAAACCCTCCACCTTCCCCAGCTCCACCTGTATATATCGGCTACGAGGTGATTCACATTATGATTATTTTTATTGAATTTCCACTGTAATACAAAAATAACAAGGCATCGCCCAAAAGAAAAAGAAAGAAAAACACACACACCCAGCTCAGATGATTAAATAAAACAGGACTACCCCATATATAACAGATTAGGGAAAGAAGGAAAAAAAATTAATAGGGCAGAAAAGTTAAATGTCCAGATAGTTACACAATTACAATATTCCTTGTAGTATAATAGGGCGAAGATGAGGTTCCATATAGTCCAGATATGGAGTCCAGACTTTATAAAACAGGCCTGTTTTTTGATGTAATACATAGGTAAGACGCTCCAGGGGAATCAGTTTAAAAATTATCTTATGCCAACCTTTAAGTGATGGAGATTTATCACTAATCCAATTAAGTAAAATATTTTTTCTGGCAGCAAAGGAGAGAATATTATACAATTTCTTGTTAGCAAATGAAACAATGCATTTATTAGGTATTAATGCATCCTTTCTAAATGATTGTATTACTTAAAAAAAAAAAAACTGGCCCTAAACTTTTGAACAGTAATGTATTAATGTATAAAAAAAATTAGGTATTCATTCATGAGGTATTAAAAACTGCATTCAGGAGTGTTTACTACATGCATTAGAAAGTCGCAAACTGGCAACACACATCAACACATCTTATGAACAGGATTTCCATTGCATTACAATATGGTTGGATGCATTCTGTCAAGCACCAAAGAAAAAATCCTTTCTGAAGAACCAGTTGTGATGGACGAGGAAATGGGCTGAGTTCCAACACCTCCCAGTCAATGACCCAAAACTTTAACCTTAAAAGCTAACGTTTAGGGTCTTCAAAAATTGTTAAAAGTATTTTTTCAGCTTACAATGACTTTCTGCAAGTTTTACATCTAAACAAATGAAGAAATGTCACTTTTTACAAACGTTATAAAATGTACACTCTGAAAAACCATGAAAAATTCACAAGAATTTAATTAATTAAAAAAATTTGGTTAAAGATTGGTCTGTAAAATTTTGACATTCTCATCATTTTGTATATGAATGTTATTTATATCAACATAAATTACATAACATTTTGTGAGACAAATGGACTAAAATGAATGAATATAATATGATGAAACATTAAAAAAAATGTTTAAAAAAATATTCAAAATACAAAACCTATGACTAGAACAAAAAGTGTGTATAAATTAACACTGATTGTCAAAAAAAAACCTACAGTATGGCACTAGTATCCAAAAACCTTTTCTTATAACAAGATCCAGGCCTATAAACATAAGTCCAAAGTACCTAGTGCACCATTTATTAAAAAAAAAAGTTCCGGTACCAACAACACTAAGGCAGGCAATTTATTGAGCAGCAATGCACAAGATCTGTAATGTGGGTGTGCAGGGAAAAACTGCACAGAGAGGTCAAAGGGTAAAGGGTGTGCAGGAAGAACAAATAGCGCTAGAACATTCACACCTCCCAAAGCCCTGAGTTCTCTCGCCAACTCACCAATGGCACAGCAGGAGCAAGCAATGAGCCAGATCAGTGAGCAAAGAGAGATTTATCAGAAACAAGAGACGACAGGCACCATTTATTAAAAAAAAAAGTTCCGGTACCAACAACACTAAGGCAGGCAATTTATTGAGCAGCAATGCACAAGATCTGTAATGTGGGTGTGCAGGGAAAAACTGCACAGAGAGGTCAAAGGGTAAAGGGTGTGCAGGAAGAACAAATAGCGCTAGAACATTCACACCTCCCAAACCCTTAGGCGTGATCAGATAAAACGATACATGCTGCAAAGCCCTGAGTTCTCTCGCCAACTCACCAATGGCACAGCAGGAGCAAGCAATGAGCCAGATCAGTGAGCAAAGAGAGATTTATCAGAAACAAAGCGCAGAGAGACGACAGAAGAATGGGACAGATCATAAAGTTGAGAAAAAAAGTATTACAGTAAGAAAGCAAGAATGGACAGAACACAAATTGAAATGAAAAAGGAGAAAAAGCACAGGGAGAATGCATTTTATAAGCGCTGCCAGATCCTCTCTGTATTATTTAAGAAGGTCAGCAGATACAGAAGTGCTCATGCAAGGCAAAAGTGTGCTGAGAAGCAAGCAAGCCTGAAAGAAGCCTTGCTGTGTTCAAGAGAAACTAAAAGAAGTTTTGCCAAATAGGTAAGTGTTCATGTTTAATAAGAGTGTATTTATCTGTTCAAAAACCCAAGTGAACATATATAATTTGATTTCTTACTTGATGTGTCAAAGCCACCAGAGGGTGCTGCGGTGGCAGGGGCGCTGTCTGCTGCCGCTGGTGTGGCAGATTCCAGCTCAGAGCCAAAGGCATCAAAAGCAGACTCCAGCAGGTCAGCTGGGGCTGAGGATGGCACTGGTGCTGGGGTTGGTGTAACTGTGGGGGCGACCGGTGAAATCAACCCTGCAGACAACAGATAAGATGCCAAATCCATAGCACACTTTAAGATTCTATACAGTTCTTAAATATCTAAACAGTTCATTATGGAACAGCATCAGAGCAATATCAAAACATGGCGTTTCTGAACTATATTACTGTTTAAATATACATTAACAGTTTTTTAAAAAGTATTCTTGCTAAGGCTATCAATCGATTAAATTTAACTTACTTAATAAACAGTGGGGTCCAAAAGATTAATTGAGAAGCTGTGTTGTTTTAGTGTTGTTTTATTATTTATATACTATTATAGTTTTTATTAATATTTTAAATGAGCTTTTATTTGAATATTTTTAATTTTAGTTTGTGCTTTAGTATTTTTTTTCATGTTTATCATTTTGAAAAGTATTTATATAGCTTTAGTTTAATTTCATTTTTAGTAGTACTTCAACTTCAAACTTATTTCTTGTTTTAAAATTTTTCATCTAACATTTTATTTATTATCTTTTTATCTACACTTTTTTATTTTAAATTTTAACTCATTTTATTTTAACTTCAATTACTTAAAATAATTTTTTATGTTTTTAATTATTTTTAATAATTAATTATTATGAATTATTTTTAGTTAACAATAACAACAATTCAATTTAATATAAATTTCCATTACAAAACAACACAACAATTTGTGTTTAACTGAAAAATGAGCATTAATTCAAATATGTTTCCTATTATTGGTATATATTTATCTCCTAGTTTTAGTTTATAGAATAATATATATTTATGTAAATATTATTATTAATTTGTATTATTATTATTATTAGGTCAAATGTTCATTTAACAACATCAATAATAATAATAATTATTATTATTATTATTATTATTAGGTATATTATACATTTAACAACAAAACATCAATAATAGTAATTATTACTTTTATTATTATTGATATACTGTATGTTGATTAATCTAATTATTCATTACTATTATTTATTTATTTGTTTGTTTGCTTATTAGCCCTTAACTGTATTACATAAATAGAACAGCTCTTCAGCAGTGCCACGTCTAACTTCTCCATTTCATCATCAACAAAAAAGGGCATTTTCCTAATCAGGATATGTGACCCATACCTCCAAGCAGGTCACCTGATGGTGCTCCAGGAGCAGCGGACTGGGTCTCCCCAGTAGTGTCACCAAATGTGTCTGTTCCAGAGACAGACGTCCCACAGCGCAGCATGAAGGAGGAGAAGCATTAGTCAGCCTTAAAGCTGCATAAACACACTGAGAGAGGGGCAGATGGAGAGAGTGAGCCGAGATCATACAACAGGCAACAAACTCCTACATTGCAACAAACACTGACGGATATGCGATCGGTGTATCTTCCCACACTTACAAAGTACACATGACGGCACAGAATGCAAATACACTAAACTCAAACACACACCAAACAAATATCTATCTTCCCAACTTCATTATCGTCTGCTCACTTAACAGACAAAACAAACCACAGAAACTTGCCACTATAACTGAAAAACTGGGTTATGAAACAGCTGGTGTATACTTACCAGTTCATAAATTTAAATGTCTACGCTAAGAAAATGAACAAGCTCAGCAAAAATGAACAAGCTCATCAAGCTCAAATGTTGTGCAGTCAGATAAAAACCCCTGATCATAATTCACTGGGTTCCACCACAGCGGAAACCATGGAATATGACAATCTCTATATTGGTTTTCTGGATTGGTGTTTCGTATGAGCGAGTTTAGACACACCAAGGAGGTCCAGCACAGGTCCAGGTTCGGCTTTAGGAGGAGAGACAGGAGCCACTGGAGCAACAGCTAGGGCAACAAATGAGTCTAAATGGAAAAGAGAGAATATGGAGTGATTTTGACATTTCTAAATAAAATCTAGCTAATACTAGCAGTTTGGGATGCAACTGTAATGTATAGTTGAAGTAAAAGTGCATTGAAGGAACATAAACTAAAATACAATCCTTAATAATTAAAGGAATCGTTCACTGGAACATGCATGACTATCTGTCTTCTGCAGATCACAAAAGGCGAATTTATTTTGAAAGACTGTGCTTTTTCATGCAGTTAGAATGAATGGCAACTGGAAAACAAAATACCATAAAACTCGGTTAGCCTAACGCAGTACACGTAGCAAGGTATTATATATATATATATATATATATATATATATAGAGAGAGATAAATAGATCAAGTAGAATTAAAATAGCATAGAAAGTGCTAGATTTTATTTTAATACATTAAATTAAAATTGAATTTATTCCTGTGATGTCAAAGATTCATTTTCAGCAGCCATTACTTCAGTCTTCAGTGTCATATGATCCTTCAGAAATCATTCTAATATAAAACATATACAATAGTACAATAGTTTAAGAGACACCTAATATTATAAAGCCTGTTGAAAGTCATTTTCTGCACAAATGAACCTTGATCATGTAAAGATGGTCTTCATAAGAGAAGACTGCATCCACTTCACTATGCAACTCTTTGAAAGCACTCAATTGTGTCTGAATGAAACTTATCACCAGTTATGCTGAGGAAGTGGTGCCCTAGGGAAGAGAAACAAGGATTTGTTTTACAGATGATTGTGTCAGTGAACCTTCTGAAATTGCATTTGTTAAATTAGTGACTTGCATATGTATATTGATCTAGACGTTTGGTCTCGTTCTGTATCGCGTATCTTGTCAGTGTCTGCGCTTGCTTGGCCATTTGTTGCGGAGAAAATAAGGAAAGTGTGTCCAGCTGAATTAATTTAGTATTTTGTTAGACGGGTATAAAAAAGCTTAGTTTACCACGGCAGCTGTCACGTAAAGGCCTCCTCGTGTGAAGACCGAAGAGTGTAAAGACCATCGACTCTACCGTGCGACTCCACCGGGCAGGACACCGGCAAAGGATAAATATCGCTTTTTATTTCTCCTCTTTCCTATTACTTGTTTCGCTTCTGTTTCAGTTTTTTTATAACCATTTCTTACTATGAGTAAGTAAGTTGTTGTTTTTTAGCATGTGTGTTTGGCAGTGTTATTTTTTAGGATTACTGATAAACTACTGTCATTTGATTTGTATTATTTGTATTTGTTATTTATTTTAATTTTAGTTACAGTATGTCTGAATTTATTATGTATGTATAGGTCTTTTATTAAGTTTTTAGTTTTATTTAATTTGACTTATTTTGATACTTCAACAAACTAAATGGAAATTAAATAATATATATATTGAATTTATAAATGTGTATGTACATATACAGTATATATGTATGTGTGTGTGGTTGTACATACACACAAATGTAGTTGTGTTTTTGGTGTTTGGCTTAGTGTTATGTTAGAATCATTATTATACTCTTATACCTTTTGTTCTTTAATATTTTGAATTGTTTTTAGCTTTATTTTTTGTTTTTCATTTATATGTTAAGTTTTGAAATTTTGTTGTATGCATTTGTCATTTTTATTTAATCTCTTTATTTTTAAAATGTGTATAGGTAATATATTTATAAAGTTTTAGCTTTTAGTTTTGGATCGGTTTTCAGTTGTTTTAATACTACAACTGATTGCTTCTGTTGTCCTCATTTGTAAGTCGTTTTGGATAAAAGCGTCTAATAAATGACTAAATAAATAAAATAAAATAAACATTTTACTGCTCAAAAAACACTTATTATCAATGTTGAAAACAGTTGCTTAATATTTTTGTGGAAACTGTGACACCATTTTTTCATGATTCTCTGAATAATAGAAAGAACATAATTTATTTGAAATACACCTTTTTTGCAATGTTATAAATGTCTTTACTGTCACTTTTGATCAATTTAAAGAGATCAGTTCACCCAAAAATTAAAATGCTGTCATTAATTAGTCACCCTTCATATCGTTCCAAAACCATAAGACCTTCGTTCATCTTCAGAACACAAATTAAGATATTTTTGATGAAATCCGAGAGCTTTCTGACTTTGCATAAACAGCAAGGGAACTACCACGTTCAAGGCCCAGAAATGTAGTAAGGACATCATTAAAACAGTCCATGTGACATCAGTGGTTCAACCGTAATTTTATGAAGCTATGAGAATTCTTGTTGTGCGCAAAGAAAACAAAAATGGAATGACATGAGGGTGAGTAATTAATGACATTTTCATTTTTGGGTGTACTATCCCTTTTGGGTTTACTAATGCTTTCTTGCTGAACAAATGTATTCATTTCTTTGCAACTTTATTTCAACAGTAGTGTACAGATATATTTATATTTACAATTACAGTAATTATGTTTTTCTCAGATAAATTACTTATTTTGATAGGGTCAAGAATACTTCTCAGCACTGAAAAGGTGGTTAAGGCCACGATTCACAAACCAGAATGACCAAAACATAAAATATAAATCTAAATGAGAGAAATCAAACAAAATAGAATCTTGATAATGTTGGGGAACTAGCTCAACAAGTTAAAATTGTCATAATGCAGAGTAAAGCAAGACAGAGGCAGAATTACAGCAGAGACATTACCACTAAAGAGGTCTAGTGTTGGCGGGGCTGCGGACTCAGTTGTAGCAGATGTGGTGATGGTAGTGGTGGTGGCAGTAGCAGTGGGAGGAGAAGGGGTAGCTGGGGCCGCTGTTGGCGAGATGCTCGGCTCGGCGCTAGTAGGGGATGCTGCGGCAGCGACACTCTCTACTGGCTTCATGGCAAAGAGGTCCAGCTCTGGGGCAATGCTTGCACTACCCTCCGATGGAGCCCAGGGGTCTTTAATGGGAAGGATTAAGGGTAAAAATGGAATGGGGAAGGTTTGTTAAATAACAAACACTGCAAACAAAAAAAGAAACACACTGAAAGCTCATAACTTCAGGACCACTGAAGTCACGGAGAGAGAGGAGATGGATTTTACTTTCAAAAGCACACTTTAAGACACCATTAACCTTAGTACTGCAACCACCATTAAATACACTATAAAAACGAAATGAACATCCTAGAAAAAAAATGATGTGGTTTTTATTCTGTTTTGTATAATTATACATCCCTCAGGATGCTTGCTGTCTATAGAGATACTATTAGTCATAGTAGATTACATAAAAACAAGGAAATACATAGGCTGGATGCCATAGGCTGCGGATTTTTAAAGTCCTAGCCTTAATGTGGAAGCAGAGCTAAGTTAATGTTACAATAAAAGCACATATAAAAGGTAAAAGTAACCCTTTTCATGTTATATCTCAGTAGCTGCATTATGGAAATACAACCACTAAGCTTCTGCGCTTCAGACTTCATGAAAATAAAAGTTAAGGTTGTTAGAATGAATCACTGAAAATATAGTCTGGAAGGGCAATTAAAAGATTAATGTGTGCAGCTGAATTATTAGTAAGTTTAACATAGCAGAAAGTAAAGGCAAAAATTATTTTCTTGAAAATATTTTGTCCTGTTTCAAGTAAAGCAAACATCCTGAAGGCAAAATCCATTTTACTTGAGAAGCAACTCAGCATACATTTTTAGGAAATATATCTTGAATTAATTTTTTTAACAAATTTGAGTTTTATGCTTAAAACCAAAAGAAAAACTACACGCTAGGGTAAGGTAAGAAAAATAAACAAGTATGTTCTCTGACAAGTCATATAATCAACAGTGTTGCTTTTAATGTTTTAAGGATGTGAACATCTTTTTAATGTAAAACGACAAAAATGGTGAATAAAAATGATTTTTGCATTTTAAGGAGAGAAATTATCAATTGTGCCTGCAGAGAACAGTGTATGTGCTCAGGCAGCTCATGGACAAATTGATTTTGCTGTAACGTGTGGGCAAAAGTAGGGTTTGATAACTCAAGCAATGCAAACAAAATTGCATGCACTCTCGCGCGATCGCTGACCATAGCGTTTGTTGGATTTCATGTTTCCATTCAAGCACGCACCCATACACACAAACCTTTCATATCCAACCATAAATCCAGACACACAAATAAAAGCAGGGTGGATCTTGTGTACAGATGAGCACCCACCAGATCCGGCACATGCATCGGCAGCAGCTGCTGGGGCCACACCCTCGCTCGGACCATCGTCTGGGGAGGGCGCAAACGCGTCTGGGCAGAACCAGACCAACAAAACCCAACAGAGAAACAGAAACAGGGATGAAGAGGCGATAGAGAGAGAAAGATTTCAATGTCAGTGATTACAAGTGAACAGAAACACTCTATATGACCCAAATGGCAGTAAAATATACCAGTCTGGGCTATATACAGTTTAATTCAGTGTGTCCACACACACACAAACACTGACGGAAATGAGTCGGGCTGCGTGAAACATCCTGTCAATGCTGTCAGGACCAACAAGTGAGTAAAAGAAAGTGTTTGGCTTTGACAGCATGGTTTCTGTTAGCCGAGGCAGTGATGAACATTGAGGCATGTAATATTACAAACCCCATGGAGACCTGCACATCCAGGTACGAATGAATTCATTTATTAGCTGAGAGAAATAAAAATAGCTTGGGGTTGTTTAACTGCTGGTTGATTTAATTAGAGGAGTATTAAATCAACAGAATGCACAGCTTTGTACGACATGAGCCAACGTCCTGTATAACATAGAATTATTCTGCATTTGAAGGAAATGCATTAATTCTGCACAAGACTTTTGCTTGTACTTTAGCATCTTATTCCCAGTTTTACATTAAAGTGTCAAGGGTAAAAATTACACATTTGAATGGAAAACAAATTGTGGATGATTTATTCATGATCTGTGTCTGTAATGTTGTGTGAAACTTTTATAGACATTAACAGCAGGGTTATTATAGTAAACTAAAACTAAAAAGAATAAGAAGAAAAAAATGTTACTTAAATAAAATATATATAAAAAATGTTTAACTTATTTCATTTCAGCTAGTTGCCAAGGTAACATTTCTAATTTTCATTTAGTTTAAATTAATGTACAAAAATAACTAAAACTGATATTAAAATTAATAAAAACTATATAGTGATATTAAAAAAAATTGGAATGGAAAATATACAATGTTAAATATTAATAAAAATTATAATAGTACCTCAGTTACTAAAATAACATTGATCTACAGACATTATACTCTGACATTAAATTATGTAAATATATGATGCCATTGCATTTAAATTGCATATATATATATATATATATATATATATATATATATAAATATAAATATATATATTAATGCTGGGCAACGATTAAAATTTTTTATCGCGATTAATCGCATTGTTATGCACAAAATTATTAATGCTGGGCAACGATTAAAAATTTTTATCGCGATTAATCGCATCGTTATGCACAAAATTCAATAATGAATTCAAAATTAGTGTATTGTGCACTTTTTCATTTAAAAGTACTGCTATATGAACAAAAGTGCAATAACATTTGCTTTGCAAACACTTTAAACAAATAAGGTGCTTTTTTACAGCAGTTCCTATTTGCTATTTCCCACTTATGAAGTCGTGAGCGCTTCATGTGAACGCTGCTGCAGTCGGCCCACCCCAAATGCTCTCATTGGTTGAGACACGTGATGACACCCATCCTAAGCCAGTACTGATCAACATCCCACCCCTCTTGGCCATGTCATAATGCCATCAACCACCAGTGCATTAAGTACACACATATATATATATATATATATATATATATATATATTCAGTATATATTTTTTTGTCTGCTGTAGGCAATGTAAATACTGAAAAATATCCCTGCTAGCAAGCTAATCTCAAGTGAGCTAATCCTTATCTATATTAGCAATTTGCTTCATAAAAAAATGAATCAGCTCAGCTGTATGGAAGGACTGATAATACATTATGTTCATATGACGTATGTCCATTGAACTAAATAGCTTTTACCTACATGATAGTGACTTCAGGCCACATTTTGGAAAAGCTATTAAAGAAAAGGTTGCCAATATGGCAAAGGGTGTTTACTTAAATATTAAACTGACAAGTTACTGTACCTTGCTGAAGTACCATAATGTCAGCTAAGTGACTTCAAATAGTACCAGTATCAATCTATGTACACAAACAGACCAAACTGACTGCTAAACAACCCATGAACTCCCATTCTTCCCTGATAGTTAAGCCTGGAGATGACCTGACTGACCTCCAAACAGATCCATGTCTGAGATGGCGGCAGTGGGGGCAGGCACTGGCAGCGAGGCAGCGGCCGGGGCAGCGATGGCGTCAGCTGCTGGTTCGATAGCAGAGACTGCGGCAGAGGCAGAGTCAGCCTCAGAAAGGGGCGCTTCAGAGCTAGCGGCAGCAGCAGCAGGAGCGGCCAGAGAGTCTGGAACCCCGCCACAGCCAAGCCACAACCAAACCACAGCATTCAGAATGACAGAGGAGGAGGAGAGAGAGACAAGGATGTAGACGGGATGAAAGAAAGCTCAGAGATTTTTTATGGAGAGATTTTAGCAAAATGACTTCATAAAGCTACGGCTGGATCAGAAAAGTAGAATGAAGATTCGGACAGTGAAAAGTTTGTTCAGAAAGCTCCTTGTAGACAAGATGTAAGAGTGGCATGCCCATTCAAATTCTGAAATGCTTAAAAAAAGCTTCGATAAAATAAAATAAATTCTGGATGTATTTGCAACATCATTTTTACTCACCCTCACCAAGCAGATCTGAAACCAAAGCCAAAAAAGAGGAGGGAAGAAGAAAAGAAGAAGAGTGTGTTAGATGAAAATAGATGTTTGATCTGTCCCTGAATTAGTTGAATGTACAGTACAATTCGTCTTTCTAAAGAAACTGTAGCTTACAACTGGGACTTGACAAGCTTGGGCAGAAAAGCAGAGGGGAGGAACATTTCCCATTTGTCTATCATTATAACTCATTAGAGTGCCCACTCAATATATATTCCCATAATTGGCCTAATTTGGGAAGAAATGGTTCCTGCAGTTTAGCTCAATGAAGTAACTAGTATATAATAGTAATATGAATCATATATAAACAGATAACAACCTAAACCTCCAGTTTTTTTAGTCTATTACAATAAGCGCTGGGATTTTTTGCACATTTTAATCTGAAACGTGATCACTTGACCTGACCTGATAAAACAATATTAAAGAATGTAATAAAACAACCCAATAACACTCTACAACACAAACTAAATGACACCAGCTCACCTCCCCATGATGCTGTGGGAGCCGCTGAAGCCCCTGTGGTTGGAGCCAACAGATCAAAATCCACTAGATCATTAAAGCCGCTACTGTATAGTGAAAAAGACAAGAGAGAGTGATGCATCTACAGGAAGCAAGACATTTCAGGATGCTTTTGTTTTACAAACCCAATTCCAAAAAAGTTGGGACACTTTTGGAAAACGTTTGGCGCATCATAAAGAGGAAGATGTGACAAAGAAGACCTAAGACAGTTGAGCAACTAGAAGCTTGTATTAGACAAGAATGGGACAACATTCCTATTCTTAAACTTGAGCAACTTGTCTCCTCAGTCCCCAGATGTTTGCAGACTGTTATAAAAAGAAGAGGGGATGCCACACAGTGGTAAACATGGCCTTGTCCCAACTTTTTTGAGATGTGTTGATGCCATGAAATTTAAAATCAACTTATTTTTCCCTTAAAATGATACATTTTCTCAGTTTAAACATTTGATATGTCATCTATGTTGTATTCTGAATAAAATATTGAAATTTGAAACTTCCACATCATTGCATTCTGTTTTTATTCACAATTTGTACAGTGTCCCAACTTTTTTGGAATCGGGTTTGTATGTATGAGACATTTTTATCAATTTTTTTTTAACTTACTTGATGGTGGTTGTAGCTGATGCTGCGGCGGTCTCAGTAACTGCAGCTGCTGCAGCAGTGGGCTCTGCGGTTTTTGCAGGGGTACCAGCAGGTGTTCCATTATTTGTTGGAGATCCCTTCTATATGTGTCATGTTGAGTTTACCATTTATTTAATTGAATACACAATAACATGAATAATGTCTTAATACTGTATAATATTATGCAGAATAATATAAGCTACTATTCAAAAGTTGGAGGTCATTTTTTCATTCAGCGAGGATGCATTAAAATGATCAAATGTGACAGTAAATATATTTATAATATAAACAAGATTTCTATTTCAAATAAATGCCAAGTTCTGTCATGAAACTCTAGATGGCGCAGGCTGACGAGTCCTTATCGCAAACTGATGATATTCACAGTGTTAAACTACTCGGCACAAGCCGATTAGTTCATGTTGCATACGCAGCCAAATGAGCTTGCTGCGTTGCATTAAAATGACTGGTTAGCATTCATTAGATCATCTTGCAGCGCGCTTTCAGAGTTCCTCTGAAACTCAACAGCTAGATAAGTGAACTGTCTATACTTCTTATTTCAGTGCATTATTGTGTTCGTCAGCTTTAAATTTATAAACTAGCAACTATATACAGTACAAGTTGTAAAACTACGCGACCATTAATTATGAATTAGTATAATATATAAAGATACTACTACTACTAATAATAAATCAGTTCAAATTAAGTTTGTTTCTGTGTAAAGTTGAACTATTATATTAGTTCTAGTCATCATTAAAAAAAATCATGTTTTAATAAAGTGAGTTATTTATTATATTTTATAATCACATTGCTAATCCACTAGTTAATTTCTCTGGGCTTCACTAGCCCAGAAACACACTAGCCCAGAATACTGAAAGAACATCAATATCACGGTTTTCACAAAAATATTAAGCAGCCCATTTTTGTTTTCTACATTGCTAATAAAAAGAAATGATTCATAAACACCAAATCTGCTTATTAGAAAGATTTCTGAAGGATCATGTGATATTGAAGACTGCAGTAATGGCTGCTCAAAATTCAGATTTGCCATTACAGGAATAAATCACATTTTAATATACTTCAAAAACCTAAAAAAATGACTAACCTCAAACTTTTGAACTGTAGTGTAATACTGCATAATCAAATTTTAAAAAATGTTTTTTTTTTAATTCATTACTCACCTTAGTCGGTGACCTAGTGATAGAAAATATAAAGAATGTAAGAATGACTTTTAAAATAACTTTTCTAAAACATCATACTCAAAAGGTTAAATGATGGAATTATAATAATTCATGACATGAGAAATTATTTTCAAACAGCAGGCAGGTCAACAAGACATTATTAATGAAAATAAAATACATTTTTACTCTGCTACTTTTTGAAAATGTTCTTGTGGAAAATATAAACAATTCCAAAATATCCCCCTCCCCGCCAGGCATGCATTGGGGAATGTGGAGTATTCAGTTACAATACAAATGTGCACATGACACTGAAATTCATATTGAAAAATTGATCAATTCATATTAAGAAATCGATCAATTCAGGGCTAGCACTGTTAGTTTTTTTAAGTTCAGTTTGTACAGAGTGAACTTAATTATAAAGCTAGACTAAAAATAATTAATTCTATAGAGAGAGGGAACTTCAACATTGTAAAATGCTGAAAATTAAAATTGAACTTCAACCATCAATCTATAGAACTTTGAACACCACAATGACGACAAAATCACCATTACAGTACGAAAATATAATCATGTTTACATTTATGTTAATTCTGCAGAAATACTTACTCATCACTGTTAACACAAGGAAAGGAGGAACAATATTACTATTTGTAATAAAAGTAGTTATTTTATTAGTAGTAAAAAGGTTTTGTTTATTCGAGAAAAAGCAGAGACTCATTTATTTTATTACTTCATGTTATTCAAAAGAATTAAAGCACTTACACTTTCTTCCCCTCGAGCGTGTTGAGATGTGTCTCCAGAGATTCCAGAAGACTCTCAGGGGCCTACAAAGCCATAAAACAATGCACTGTTAAAAGTGACCTACCACTAAGGACACCTTGTTTCAGACTACAAAACACAAAAAGACAAAGTCAAGCTGCTAACACTAAATGAAGACAAGTAGAGGACAAAATGTACTAGAAACACTATAACACTTTATAAGTTTCTAAGACAATAAATATATACAAGCAATAGTCTTAAGGCTTACACTGGTTCGGATGCAAAGCACAATGCTTTAGTTTACGGCCCCAGTGGGGCCCACAATGCACTGCAGCATGCTCACTCATGCATTCAGGCACAACAGAAAGACTCAGAGCACATTATTTGTTAGACATGCCACATAATCGCATGTATCTCATGTGTAAAAATGTCATGCAAATACAGCTAAATAGGCCAGAGAAATCATATAAATTAAAATAATATATAAAAACTAGACCATTTTTGTGGTTAGTTCACAAATAATAGCTAAATAAAGTCTTTGGCCTAGGGCAATATGATATGATGTGCCATAGCACCAAAGAGCATTTATTGATTGTCTAGGTCTAGTCAAAATACACACATCTAACATACATGATATGACATCTGGTGTCACAAAGCCTTTTCAATTCTCAAATTCATCTTGAAAATGAAATATAGTTTGATCAGGTCTGTAATATCATTATTAATATTATAAAATCAACTACCTATCATGAGTGGAGTGCCCTGTCGGATTTGGTGACCCTGCTATATGTCTGTAGCGGTTTATATAAAAACAAAATGCACTCTAGAATATGAAGCAGAGTAATTTTGACATCAACAGAGTAAGTCTACAGAACATTAAAGCAATTCTGTGTAAAATAGAGAGAGGTAACAGATTTCGGTAACCTTTAATGCTGCCTTGTTGGACTTGATGTCCCTGGTGCATGTCTAAAGCAGTTCACATCATTTTCACATCAGACCAAAATACTTTCTAGAGTATGAAACAGAAGAGTTTAGAAATCACTAGAGTGAATTTACTGAACATTAAAGCAATTCTGTGTAAAACAAAACAACATAGGGGGGTAACAGACTTCAGTGACCTCTAATACCGCTTTATCGGCTCTGGTGACCCCGCTGTGTGTCGGTAGCGGTTTATATTATATAAAACAAAACTACTTTCTAGAGTATAAGGCAGAGTAATTTCAACATCACCAGAGTGAAATGGCAGAAAATTAAAGTAATTATGTGTAAAAGAGAAGGGAGTTACAGGTTTCGGTAACCTTGAATGCTGCCTTGTCAGATTTGGTTTCCCTGCTGTATGTCTGTATTTAGCAAAATGCTTGCTAAAATACAGAAAAGTGAATTTGAGAAGCGTTACAGACAGTCTGTCCTTAATAATAATTTTAACAAAACATTTAATGAACTGCGACCTCACCAATTTAAGCACAAAATCGGTTACCTGACTGATTTACAGTGCTGCCATGGAAACATACGTCATTACGTCTGCAAGTTGGTGTGTTTGACCAATCAGAATGGAGTATTCCAGAGTATGATTAATATACATGATCTATTGCTGTTCAACAAAATAGTGTATGATATTTCATCCAGTAATACCAGCAGTGGCAGCTAAACCAATCCTTCAGGGCAGCACTCTCAGACAATTATACTGGCGCTCTAGCAGACAGATTAGTGATTTGAGAAGCGCCTCTGGTCAAATACACCAATCCTCTAACCTTAGCCATACCCTCAATATCACTCACCCCCTTTCCCATTCTCTGTCTCACCCACACACACACACACACACACACACACACACAGTTAAACACTGTCATTCACATTTACAATGAAGATTAATTTTCATACAATTAATCCATTAATTACCGTGTGCTTTATACTGAGCTGATAACAGTGATCTTTAAACAGTGTGTTAAACACAAATGTGTGTGGTTAAGATCCTAGAAAAACTCTAGTGCTGTGTCTCTTTAGCTCCAGTAAGACATGAGAGTTTTTTGTTGTGACACAAATGCTTAACTGAAAGATGCATGAGCGTTAAAAACATTTCTTTTGATTACTAATTGCAGTCAGTGGGAGGGGTTACATCAAGTTTAATGAAAGAGACCAGGCTTTTCTCAAACTAATATTTCTTCACACTAATCCCAGATAAAAACAAATCGTCTGCAAATGAAAATTCTGTTTGGTTATGTAGATTGTGATCGCATACACAACTGATCATGTAAGGAGATGATCTATCAAACTATGCAAAATGCAGCTATCAAAGGACTTCAATACACTAAAGACCTTTAAATAGGAATGTAAGAAGGAATATCTAAATTGTGTGTAAACATAAATACACCCTGTAAAATTCATCAAATTTCTTGAGCTACACAGCTGTGCATCCTAGGCCAAAACCCAATTAATTACAACCACTGCCAAATCCAGAACCCAGGCAGTCATGCACGTCTCCCTGCAGCATGTCCTGAACTCTGCCGTTGATCCAGAATATCTGAAGAAGGCAACCATCCTACCCTAACATCACGCACAGCATGCTTTCAGAGCAAGCCTCCCCCATTTCTGCCAGCATGAAAAACCCTCCTAATCTCATAACAGAGCTCCCACAATCATAAAACCATTCGGACGTTCTGTTTTATAGAGTCTGATTAGTTTCACAGTGTTGGCATTTTCTATGAATAGGGTGCAAACCTGAAACTATTTTTAAAAAAAAGTCACTAAGTCTTTTTCAATCAATGGTAAGGTGGCAGGAGGTCAAAAATGTTATGGATATTTTTCATTTCTAATAATTGTATAATTTAAATGTGTATTTCCTATAAATTTAAAAATAATATTTGCTTGATTATTTTGGGTAACAGTTTTGAAAGCCTGACAGAGGCAGTCAACACAACAGCATTTGCAAAATTACAATAAAAATCCATAAAAATAAAAAGATTTTTAAAAACTGTCTTCAAAATTGTATTTCTTGGGTGTCAAATTTAAACAATATTTGTAAAAAATTTGGAAAAGTGACTATAAAAAAAAATGTCATGCTGTATGAAATGGGTTAAAATTTTACTTCTTGAGCAACAAATAAAAAAAAAAATACATTTCTTGTAATATGGTGAAAATAATGTTAAGTTTAAGTTGTTAAGTTTGTGCATAAAAAGCTAAAATTACCAAAATCATAATAGCTCTTACAAAAGAAAAACATTCAATTTGTGCCTGTAATGCTTAAAATATATATTTTTTTTTAAAGTCAGAGAACACCAAAGTGCTCCATATTCATGGAAAGTGCCTATTTTCATATTTTGCTCATCTAAAATGTAGAAACCATTCTTACATGTCACTCAATTAAATACTCCATCAGAGAGAAATTTACTGAAATTCCCAAAATCGTCAGTCTTTAAATAGTTTCTATGTAAATTGCTTTATTCTACATATAACAGCGGTCTTAATGATTGTGGAAACTCTATTCTTGGCGATTCTTCAGCATTACTGGGATGCAAAAGTGACTGCAGCTTGAGTTCTCATCTCAGACAGCAAGCATCGCTGCTTCTCTGCTCAGTCGCATCCAAGTTCACTCTAAAATGAAATTTTGTGTGCAGTTTATTTGATGAACGCTAATGAGGATTGACTGCTCTCTCCTAAGCTGCAGGATTCTCCAAAGTGGAAAAAACTCCACACGCTACTCACACTCTCAGCCTGTGTGATCAATCTGCACCGCTGAAATAAGAAGACAGGTACAGAATCTGTCAATCAGCCTGAGGGGACAGGACAGAATGGATCCATGGAACATGTCCCATCTGACAAATGCCCCAACATGAGAGAAGAATGACCTCTTATATGTAGCACATGGATGTCTGTGACTGGCCCAGTGGCCAGGGAAGGATTACAACCTCACAACTGGCTAAAACCGCTGGGATTTGAGGGCTACGACACATGCAACACATATTAAAACAACACCACAACACAGACATGCATTGTTAGTACTGACGTGGAGAGTGTTGGCATCATGATGAATGGAAATGCTGTTTAAAGAGAGCCTTACCTGTGTAAGTTCAGGAATATCGTTTTTGTCAATTCCCACTTGCTGTTGAAAGACAAGGTAAGAATATATGACATAACCTTTGAACCACAAATGTCATTTTTGATGAATATTTTATAATTAAAGCAAAGATATAAAATGCATTGTTTACCTCAGCAATTTTGAGGAACTCTGAGACTCTGGTCATTCGTGTCAAGAATCTTTTATAGATTTCCAATGCATCTTTGCATTGTCCTTTCTTCATCTGGAAAAATTTCTCTAAAAATGAACAAGGAAATCATAATAAATCACATAGTTGTGCCAAATCTTGCAGATGTCAAACCAAAGACTTTGAAATCTCAATGCATTCATAAAATTCTTGAGACTTGCCTAAGAGATTAATGATGCCATCATTGTAGCAGGCGTACAACTTGATCAGATCCTTGAAAAGCAACAGGAAGGCAGCATTGATCACCCCGTTGGCAAGATCTTTTGGATGAACCTGAAAGTGCAGATTCTATTATTTTTCAAATTCTAAAAACATCATTAAAATGTCAGTAAGTGACAGATTCTTATCTTGCAAGAGTGTATCCTAACAAGGCATGATGCTAGTCAAGTTTGAACCCTGTGTAAAAGCATCAGGTGTTAAAACAGCCTGTGATAATGACAGGAAGCAGACTCACATCAAACTCCAGCAGAGCATCGATCTGACTCTGCAGTGTGGGCATGCCTTTCAAGAGCTTGTCAGTAGACATTGTTCTCATCACACCATCAGCACTGAGAAACACACACACATTCACATGACATGCATTGCAAAGAATTTATCATATGTAAGTGAACGTAATCCAAACAAGACTGTCAGGTATAATAACAGTTCTTGGGTTTTTATCTAACATAAATGTTAAGATCATATGACTTAAAAGTACTTTTGGGAATTTTACATCTCATAATACAAACCTTTAAAACTTAATTTGTTACACTGTAGGACCATTTAAAATGAGCTAGTGAAAATTGTGAAAAATGTAAAGGAAATAGTGACCAAAGCATCTAAAATTTTGCATCTGTTTGCATTTTAATTTCAAATCTTAATGAAGTCTATGAACGTACTTGGTGTTAACTAACCATATACTGTATAAGTAACATAGCAGAAATAAGAGAGGTTGCCTTTAAGGGAACATGACTAGAAAATGAACTATTTTTAAGGCCCATTAACACCAAAAATGATAACTATAATGATAACTATATTAGCGTCCACACACTGACACACTATAATGTTCTGTTTATTATAAGCATGTGCTGCAGTTCTGTCATGTGCCTCTTTAAAGGCTGGATTCTGATTGGCTGTCAACATTTTTATTGTTATCACCACATTCTGAAAGTGATTCCAATGACATCATTCCACTGTTGCCGTTATTCTTTTCAATTTAGAATGATTTTCTAAAGTATATCTCATTATCGTCCTTGATGTCAATGGCCATTAGTCTCTAATCATCTGGTGTGTGTGTGTGTGTTTGAGTTGTTAGCTGTGAGTTGTTTTGTTCAGGACGTCTGAGCAAGCTAAATCAGCCAATTTATTTGTTGTAGCTCCTTCATTGTGCCTGCAATGAGACCTTGGTCGCCAACATACAGTAGGCAGTCTGTGAGTAATGCCCCATTTTACTTAACAAGGGTCTTGCACACAATAGTACCAAGGGAGCAGGAAACTTGGTGAATGTAACTGCTTTTCTACAGCAGCATCACAAGGCTCTTTTCAGGGGCTAGAGGTTGTCCTCGATTTCCCAGCATTCCACTCAAATCTGTTATTGTTCAGTAGCGTTCCAATGCAATTGGCACAATTGTTAACTCAGGGTACAGCCATGTAGCAGAGAACTCATTTACCCTTTCTTCACTCGGCCAAAGTCAAAAGCCATCTGTCTGTAGGCAAACGCTTTCTCGTTCAGATACCTGCTGTAGCGTCTGATAAATGTTGACATGTCGAAACCTGAAAAGTGCAAGCATTTATAAATACATTCATATTCATAGACAAATTCAATTGGGCAGGACAACAAAGTTGACAAAATAAGAATTCTCAGTGGCTAATTTAAGAACAGTGCAATTAATTATAGCTCACATAACTTTTCATGGTGATTTAATGTCAAACAAGATTTTGATCAGCAACTGCATTCACTGCATGAAATAATACTTACCATGAGAGCCAGTTTTGTCCAAAAAATTACTAAGATTGAATAGGGTGTTCCTGGAGGCCAGGTACTGGATGAACCTCTGAAAAAAATTATTATAATTCAGAATATGGGATCATTCATATGTTAGGCTGTTATTCACAACACAAAAGACTACAATTTCAGTACTGCCCTTAATAAATTAATAAATTAATTTAAAAAAATGTCCAACAGCAACTGAAAGAGATACAGAGATAAGAAATGCATTAGTGTATATGTAAATTGCAGTTCAGTGAAGAATTTCTACAAACCCGATATTACCATCTAATGACTAATCACTCAGAACTCACATTAAAGCTCTGAGTGGGAGTGAATGCAAATATGGAAATAATAGCAGAGGTTTTATCAAGAAAAACCAGCACACTCGCTGCATATAAGCAGTGAATACAGCCTGAATTTACAAACAAATTGATGCGGCTTAACACATAAATGAAAAATTGTAGGTAAACAAGACTAGGGGGAAAAAAGTGCAACGAAAATGAAATGTACAGAAAATAATTTACTAAAAATTTACAGAACATGCTGTATGATTCCATGCACAGTATAAAGTATTTAACTGAAATAGTAAAAATCAGTACAAATATCTCAAATCTTTAAAACACGATACATTTACTTGAGAAGCAAAACTATACTGTATAAGATAAAACATTTTTTTAGAGAATATATGTTGAATTAGTTTTTTTCTTAGCCCATTGTCAATTTTATTATTTTATTTTAGGTATATCCTCTACAGAAAGCCTTATTATGTAATGCAATTTGTTTCTAAAATTTGTTTCATGACTAGATGTTCTACTTGAAAAAGTGAGAAAAAATGCTGATGAAAGAAACTGATTTATCGCAGTTTTGGATCATGAATTCTGGGGGGAAAAAGAAGGTATATATTATTTTATTTACTCGTGAATGATCTTTTCAAAGTGATTTTTTGCAAACCTATCCCAGCATTACACCATGTCTGTGTGCTGTGCCTTTTCAGTTCTGCCTTTCAGAGTTTAACTGATGTGTCAGCTGATCAATACAGAGGCTTGTGGGGAGATGAAGCTATATATAATGTACTTAACACTTTTAATCATCTAGGTCAGAATACTAACCATTTCAAATATCCATGTGTCAGGGTAAATACTTCCCTTGTGCAAATGACCAAATAGCCTGATGTTATAGAACACGTATCCTGCAGATTTTTCCTCCAGAGTGAGAGAATAAGAGTCTAATAACTTCCTTGCTTTCATATCCACAATATTATTATGTAATGCAATTTGTTTCTAAAATTTGTTTCATGACTAGATGTTCTACTTGAAAAAGTGAGAAAAAATGCTGATGAAAGAAACTGATTTATCGCAGTTTTGGATCATGAATTCTGGGGGGAAAAAGAAGGTATATATTATTTTATTTACTCGTGAATGATCTTTTCAAAGTGATTTTTTGCAAACCTATCCCAGCATTACACCATGTCTGTGTGCTGTGCCTTTTCAGTTCTGCCTTTCAGAGTTTAACTGATGTGTCAGCTGATCAATACAGAGGCTTGTGGGGAGATGAAGCTATATTTAATGTACTTAACACTTTTAATCATCTAGGTCAGAATACTAACCATTTCAAATATCCATGTGTCAGGGTAAATACTTCCCTTGTGCAAATGACCAAATAGCCTGATGTTATAGAACACGTATCCTGCAGATTTTTCCTCCAGAGTGAGAGAATAAGAGTCTAATCACTTCCTTGCTTTCATATCCACAATAACGAATTAAACATTAGGGGGAAGATTATCAAGCAGCACTTCTGTCCCCTCAGACAAAGCAGTCCTGGCAGGTCACATTCATAATTGAATAGCTCTCTTTAATTAGAATATTGGAAAGTGAGCTCATCTACCATATATTATAGTTATGACATATTTTCTCTCATTGTATATTCAGCAGAATGAAAGGCAATGCTTTCAGGAGTAATCAACACTGTATTTTACATAATCACATGCATATGAGGGGACCATCACTTTTAGCCATGGATGATTTTATAGACCCCTCTTACTCAAAACGAAACACCACAAGATGAACAAATCAGTCTCTTTCTGTTTAAATGTTAATCTGTTGATTCATTTGAAAGTAAAGTAATCAATAAATTAGCATTGGTGATATAAAATCCCTGAACGACAGTTGGATGAAATATCTCAAGTTCATTTAATCATTTTGAAAGACATTAATACTTGTTTTCAGCAAAGATGTATTAAATTCATCCAAAGTGACAAAAATGTGTACAATGTTAAAAAGACTGCTATTTCAAATAAATGTGATTGTTTTAAACTCAAAGAATCATTGAAAATAAAGAAACATTGATAATAATTTTCTTGAGCACCAAATCAGCATATCAGAATGATTTCTGAAGGATCAGACTGGAGTAATGGCTGCGGAAAAATCAGATTTGCCATAATAAAAATTAATTATATTTTAAAATATATATAAAAATAAATCTTTTTTAAAAATTGTAATAATATTTCACAATATTACCGTTTTTACTGAAGTTTTGATCAAATAAATTCATCAGAAACATTTTTTTAAATCTCTTACCGTCCCATAACCTTTTGAATGGTACTATATATAGAAATAGGAGGTTGTTCAATTAGTTGTGCAAGAATTAATATTCATGAGCTACACCTTTGCCATTCTATCATGTCACAACTAGCATATCCTTGTGCACACCTCTATACCTGTCCCTAACACTATTTATAATACAGTGAGGCCTATTCACACGTAGCCCGCATCTGTAGCTTCATATTTATTCAATTATCCTTTGAAGCTGCACCTCTCCATCTCTGAATTTATATAAATTCCTCTCAAGCTCCCTTATTTTATCATCCATTCTTCTCGCCCTTTATCTCATTCTGCCTTCCACTGCCATCTGCCTTTTCTCTCTCCGATGTCTCTGTCGCCGCACAGCGCCAGCCTTGACTGAAAGAGTAAAAACTGCGCTTTCAGAAAGAGAGAGAAGGCTGGAGCATCTGCCCGCCTGTCTGTCTCTACTCCTATTGTGAGTCTGATGGGTGTGATAACGGTGATAAGAGAAAGCGAGAGGGCTTTGAGTGCAATAGGTGGTCAGCTGTATGGAGAAGCTCCTCAGAAAATTGTTCAAATTCAAGGCAAGACTTCACAAACTTTTGTTGCACGGTTTAAACAACACTTTTGATGTAGGTTAAATATTATGCAGACCCTGCATTAAAGTCTTTCAGAAATGCAATCATCTGCGACCCAAGCCAGAATCAATTAGAAAACACTTTTCCAAACCACTTATTTTGTTGCATTATTGAGCCATTTAATACATTCTGATTTGAAATTTGAATTTTGAGCCAGGTCAGTGCAGTAATTCTCACAAACAGCAAAAGTCTGACTGTTTTCAGCTTTTAAGTGTTTGCCCCGTCCAGTGAAACAAACATTCATGACCGTTTAAAAGTTTTGAATGAAATTTCGGTAATAATTAGTTAACAAACTAACAATGAAAAATACTTCTAAAGCTGTATTTTTATTAACTAATATTAACAAAGATTAATAAATACTGCAACAAATGTATTGCTCATTATTAGTTAATGTTAGTTAAGCATTAAATATAGTCAACAAATGGAACTTTATGGTAAAGTGTTACCGAAATTATTATGCTTACCGAGGCTGCATTTAGTGGATCAAAAAATTCATAAAAAAAGTATTATGCAGATTTTTTGTAATATTACTTATTATTATCAACATTGAAAATAGTTGTGCTGATTAATATTTTTGTGGAATTTTTCAAAAATTACCTTTTGAATGATAAAACCACTACTAGAGAGATTGCATATTTTGTGTAAGTGGACTTTTGACTCAAAACTGTATAATTACTGAGATACAGCCCCTGTGACAACTAGCCCCAGTTTGACATATGCACACAGACAGACTTCAGCTCAGTATATGCACCACAAACATCTATCCATAACCATACCTGACACTATGTCTTCATAATAATCATTTCATTCAAAATATCAGGACTTAATACTCGTTTACCTCACAAGTATCATATAAATAACACTGCAGTAATCAATTGCTTGATTCTCACCTCATTGCCATGGACCATCAGGTGGTGAGTGGTGACCAAAGCCTTGAAGACCACAATCCAGCTGGCATTTCCCGCTCTCTCAAACAGGGTATCAGCCATCTGGGGAATATTGACATTGGACTCCTGGGTTGCCTGGATCAAGTCTGTGAGGGAATATGAAGTAGCTTTAAGTTGAACGTATTTAACAGTTTATCCGTACTGTATTATGACACTCTGGGTAAAAGCAGCGGGCACAACACATACCAGAACATCAGGGTAAGAGTAACACACAGGAACCAGTGCTATTCAGTGTTGTCCTGCATTCAGCTTCAGCTCTGTTTCTGAACTGTGCTTAGCATGCTAGTATATCAAACATACTATTAAAAGACATTTAGGGTCAGAAGGCTCAATCATGAGAGAGTTCACAACTTTAAGTCATTATCATTTAAATTCTCAATGTAGGTATGGCATATAGTATCCATAAAGAGCAGCCTAGGCTAAATAATACAGATATGAAAGGAACAGAACAGGTGATTAATATTACAGCGCTGTCATAACATTGAATAATGCAGTGTGATGGGAATTCTGTGGTGCACCAGTGTATGACAAAATGGCTCATTTTGACATTCAATGTGACATCTGACAATGCACCAAAATATTTTAAAGGGGAGCAATAAATAGACAAGGGGGAAAGTTAGAAAGCGAAGTAGAATAAATAGATACACAGACAGAAAGACAGACAGATAGTTAGATAGACAGGCAGACAGTTGCACAGACAGACCGATAGTTGAAGAGTTAGATCAACACAGATATAGTAGACGGTTAGATAGCTAGACAGACCAAGAGACAGTTAGACAGACAGACCGATAGATAGTTACACTGTTAAACAGACAGGCAGTTGGATAGTTAGGCTGCCAGGCAGAAAGATAATTGATGAAATAGTTGGTAAAGTAGTCAGCGAGAATGTTACATACAGATAGTTACATACTAAAAGTAAGAAAGAGTTTGTTAGGCAGACAGAGAGTTAGACATAAAGACAGACAATCTACCAAGTCAGGTAGACAGACAGACAGATACGTTTTCAAACAGAAAGACAGATTTTCAGACAAAAAGTTAGACAGGCAGACAGATCGACCAAACAAACAGATAGACAGACCAACAGAAAGACAGAAGGAAAATGTTGAAAAGTTAGACAGATGGATAGACGGACATAGTGAGATACATTGTTTAACAGATAGTTAGACACAGATAAGCAGATTTTTCATTTCTCAGTCCTCCTCCTTTTCTTTCTATCACACCTTCACTACAGGAGAAGGTGTGTGAACACACAGATTTGTATCTGTCTCTAAGGAGATTATGACAAAGCAGCCTGCTCTCCCTCCTACAGACCACACCATACATCCTTCATCATGAACTACACATCACAACACAAATCCTGAAACCACAGTGTCTGGATTCAAACATTATTTTTACATACTGACAAGCACTGTACCAGAGTCTCAATAATTCTGATATCATTTAATATATGATTATAATCCAATTAAGAGACTATGATGTATATTTCACAATGGAACAACTTGCAGCTTCTCCTCTCATCACATAGGAAATGATAAATTATTTAAAGGGGTCATATGAGTTTTAAATTTTTCCTTTCTCTTTGGAGTGTTACAAGCTCTTGGTGCATAAAGAAGATCTGTAAAGTTGCAAAGACTAAAGTCTCAAAACCAAAGAGATATTCTTTATAAAAGTTAAGAGTCAACCACGCCTACCTAAAACAGCTCGTTCTAACACGCCCCAACATACCTACGTCACTCTGTGGGAAGATTTGCATAACGCCGCCCAAATGTTCACGCAAAGAAAGAAGGCGTAACTTTTATTCTCGCTGTAGTTTTGTTGTTTCCGCTGCCATGTCGTAAAGACGCTGTGTGCTTCGTTGTGAAAGCGAAACTACTTTGTTTGGTCTTCCAAAAGAGGACGATATCTGCTTCGTCATGCCTAGAGCGGATACGTGCTGGTCGATGATGAAATACTACAACTTTGCGCTGTCGATCGCCGGATCGGCTTTTAACCGTGGACGAAGCGGAGTCCAGCCCAGAGTCGTCACATGTCCTTCCGGACGCTCCTTCGTCGAAATCTCCGGCCGCGCCATTCTCAAGCCCGCGCCTCTGCTCACTCTAACCATCCCGCCGTTCCTCACACTAGCCCCCGGCCTCTGCTCACTGTAGGCCGTCGCCGCTCACTCCAACCCTCCGGCCGTTCCTCACTCTAGCCGCCGGCCTCTGCTCACTGTAGGCCGCCATGTGTGACGCTGTTTCGTTGTGAAAGCGAAACTACTTTGTTTGGCCTTCCAAAAATGGACACGACTAGAATCAATCACAACGCACTGGATACTAGATAGCTGGCCAATCACAGCACACCTCGCTTTTTCAGACCGATGAGCTTTGTAAAAATCGACGCGTTTCAGAAGGCGGGGCATAGAGGAGAAACAATAATGTACAGTATGTGGAAAATAATGTGTTTTTTTAACCTTAAACCACATAAACACATTTCCTTACACCAAATACACAAAATACTGTTCTTTTTAGCAACATCATATGACCCCTTTAAAGGCAAAATAGGGTAGTAAAACACCAGGGGGCTGAGGGATGCAGTCACCTTAACTGAAAGAGGAAGGGTACGCACACATTCATGTACAAGATGAGATAACATAATCGCAGAGACCACAATAATAGGGCATCCTCAAAAAGGCTTAAAAATTGAACATCACCCTGGTTTGGCACCTTAAAGCACATCAACACAGCCTGATGGGATGAAATGTGAGATCAGAACCACCTTCATGTGTCACCTGAACTAAATCTAAAAAAACAAAAAAAAATTTGTTGTGCCCTAGTTCTTTTTCCTCACAATATGACAGATACTTCAGGTCATTGTATTTATATTTTTAAAAAAATTTCACTGACGTTCAAAAGTTTGGGGAGAGTAAGTTTTTTTTTGTTGAGAGAGAGAGAAATTAATGCTTTTATTCAACAAGTATGCAACAAATGAATCAAAGGTTACAAAAGATTTCTGTTTCAGATTCCAAACAAATGCTGTTTTTTTTACTTTATCAAATAATACTGTTTTCAACATTAATAAATGTTTCTTGAGCACCAGTTCAGCATAATATGATTTCTGAAGGATCATGGGACACTGGCTGCATTTTAAAATATATTACAATAGAAAACTGTTATTTTAAAATGGCAAAACTATTTACTGTATAATCAACAGCAACAATATTAACAATATTACTGTTTTACTGTATTTTTGATCAGATAAATTCAGCCTTGGTGAGCAAAAGAGATTTCGTTCAAAAACATTAAATAAAATACATTAAAACCCCAACATTTTGAACAATAGTGTATATGTGTTCTTTCATATAATTTCAGTACCCAGTGCCAAATGCCTCTGTTACAACACAATAAAACAAATGGCTCCTTAAAGAGTTTGGTAAAACAAGTTTGTTCAGCCTTATAAACTTTGAAAGACGTAAAGTTTGCTTCGTCTGAATTATCGAATTCGCTCAATGCAGTGAAGCAGAGCATTTACTTATGTACAGTACAGCCAACAACTTTCTTTTTAAGTCTGCACCAGAGAATTATAAAGTTCAACTGTGACTAAAACAAATTACAATCACATATGAGTCATACTATATTAAAAGTTTGAGTTTTGTGCATGTTCTATTTCAAAGGACACAGTATATCTGACTTAGCATTCACTTCCTAAATTATTTACGAAGAGAGATAAAAAGCTGGGGGTGGAGAAACAGTAGTGCAGTCAGATATGAAGCGTCTCACGGTTCTCACTTTACACATGGCAGGAATGCTTACACATGCACAAAATCTTGAAAAAACAGCCAAGCATTAAACAACTTGCTAAACTGAAGCACTACACACAATACGCAAATGGTATCAGAGTGCAGCAGTCACACTGTAAATGCAGTGAGAAGCAGCTGCACCGCCAGCTCATATAGCAGACTGAAAAACTACCCTGCAGCCTCATGGCCTCTGAGCTCCCCAACTATTATCGACCATCAACTTTCTACTTTCCCTGTTCAATAACAGGAGCAAATTACAGTATTGGTGGCAGAGGCATTGGCCACACACATACTTTTGTTTTTCTTTCATGGCGGGACTTTCTAGTGGCTTCTATAGTCCTGATATTGAGCTAGTTTTCTATCCCCTAAACCTGTACTTCCCATGACCTTTGCAATTGGTCAAAGTCAATATTCAAAACTTTAAAAGTCTTTCTTATGATAAAATTATAAAAATACAAGCTTGTTTTTAACACCTCTTGCATATATATATATATATATATATATATATATATATAAAATATGAAATATATGCATATGCATTTGTAACTTTTTTCCCATACAAATATTTTTGATGCTATAAAAGATTCTTTGCAACTACAGCTCAGTTACCCTTTAAAAATAATAAAGTTAAAGAAAAATAAACTCACCAATAAAAACATGCATGTTTCAGAAGTTTCTCCAAAGTATAAGAAATACAGCGCATATTTTTTTTAGCCGAGACTGCATTTTTTAAAATTGTTAAATTATGATCAATTGTAATTTATTTTGGCCAATAATGTAGGCCAAACCTGACCCCCACACACATATTAAATATTTATATGTACATTTGTACAAAAAGATGCACATATTACAGAAAATCTGCTGGAAACACAGTCAATAATTTTAAAAACTAAGCATGAATGATGTACGGATATTAACACATTACTTTTTTATTTAAAAACATTTGTTGTCACTGTTTTGTAAATTTGAGCAAATAAAATCCCAAATTCATAACAGCTTGGTCTATATGTTCATAGTTAACACCCCATCCACCTTATTTTTAACACAAGTGTGGATGCTGGCATGTGTAACTTGAATGTACAAGGCCGGTGTCATCGCTTCCAGTTATTTTACCTGCAAAAAAACAGTCCGTTACACTTTTTATACTACAAATTGGTATTTGTTATCATATTATTTCGATTTATGATCAGAATCATAAACTCACTGGTTCGTAGTGCAAATAGACCTTTTACTGCACTTTGTTATTCTTCAAGATATTTACATTTAATGGCTAATAAATCTACATTCAAAGAAAATAGCTTAATTCTGCAT